GGTTGAAAAGAGACACTGAGTAACTGACGTTTGTATTTTTGCAAAAGAAAAAGAGCATTTACTTTCAAAAGACTCCAAGGAAAAATATCGTTCATAAAATATCTAAAATAAACCCTGACACACGTATATTATGGTCTATATTGCTGCTGGTATCTAAATAATTGTTCGCAAAAATAAGCTACATTGGTGCCACGCCTTGCGTAGTCTCCTCCACATCCGATGTTTGGTCTCGCACGCAACATGCTCTCTCCCCCATCCGCTCGTGCAACGATGAACAGAGTTGATAAAGAAGCAAAATTTTTCATTTTACATTCTGAAGGCATAATTTAGAAAGAAACTGACTGAGACGTAGCTGGTTTTTCTTGGAATATATTTCAAGCGTTACTTCTTTAAAATTAGGTCCGGTTTTGTTTTGTTTTGTTGTTTCAGATCTTTTAAGTGAACCTACTGAAACTAAAAGTGTATATACAGGCTGGGAGATAGAGCTTAAACTGGTTGTAAGAAAATACCTACACTGTAAACTTTTAATTGGCAATGTGGTGTTTTAAAGTTGTTGTGTCCGTCTGTCACATTTTTATTTAGGATGAAGGATTGGGATCTGGCAGTGGTAAAAGATGTGGCTCTCAAAAGTTTGTTTGTAAGAGAGATTATGCATTATTTGTACCATTTAAAACTGTCATACTAGAGAAGGACTTTGGTGGTTATCCTGAAAAAGCTGCAAGAAAAAAAGCCTGGGGAAAGCGGGAGCAAATTCATGAAGATGAAATGTATGCAAGATCAATGAGCTGTGTCAATGCACCATCAGGTAGACAAATTATTTGATATCTCAGTTGTTTTATAAATTTACTTCACTTAAATTCACTTCACTTAGTCAAGCACACCATGCATAATGAAGCAGAAAATCATAATCTGTGAAATGATGTCTCTTTCACCCAATTCCCTTAAAACATTTAAATGTTGAAAAATTGTTCGTCCAGTTCAAAAAAGTGTTTGAAATTGAAACATTCAATTTTTGCCTAGGACATTTTGAAATACTGAAGCTTAATTCGTATGATGATGTGGTGTCCCAAAGTGTATTTTTTTCTGAAATTTTAGGTCTTTTGCTGGTAGAATTATTAGCATGAATGGTTTGTGACAGATTGATATACAAGTAATTTAGTGTTAACAACTGGGTTGAAAACGTAAATTAGCCACCTTAAAGAGTAACAAAGCTGACGTTTCGAGCGTTAGCCCTTCGTCAGAGCGATTGGAGGAATTGTGGGTTGTGTGTAGGTTTGTTTGCAGAAAGTGGAGCTACGCAATTGGTGCTTAAAACATTTAAATGTTGAGAAATTGTTCGTCCAGTTCAAAAAAGTGTTTGAAATTAAAACATTCAATTTTTGCCAAGGACATTTTGAAATACTGAAGCTTAATTCGTATGATGATGTGGTGTCCCAGAGTGTATTTTTTTCTGAAATTTTAGGTCTTTTGCTGGTAGAATTATTAGCATGAATGGTTTGTGACAGATTGATATGCAAGTAATTTAGTGTTAATAACTGGGTTGAAAACGTAAATTAGCCACCGTAAAGAGTAAAAAAGCAGACGTCACCATATTCCCACCAATTGCGTAGCTCCATTCCTCTAAAGTTGATTGTTTGCATACCTTTTTTCTTTCCGAGGAGATCATTGATTTATGTGGGGACGTGTAAGGTACAAATTTTTTACAAAAACCTTTAAGAGTGATTGTCAGTAAAAATCAAAGAAATCGTGGCCACGGTCAAAAAATCGATTTCGCTCATACTTTGTCAGTTTGAAGGCCTAGGTAACTAACTGAAGGATATGAGGTTAGTTTTTTGAAATATTCCATATAACGGCAGAAAACCACGAAAAACGGTCACCCTACCGGAAGCTCGGATTTCACCTAGCGGAAACTCGAAATTTTACACTTTTCAGCTTCTCGCTACACAGACGTTTACATAGCTGTGAATCTTTCTTAAGTATAATTGAATACATTGATTCTTCCTTAGTCAAACCATGGGAATTATTTTTATCTCTGCTTATTTGTGAGCGAACTGAGACCCCATTAAGAAGACACACTTTTCTCATTTACGCGAAGGTGTAAAATAATCCAAACTCAGCGACGAAAAAAGCTGACCGGTAGTTCTTCAAATCTTCTGATATTATAACCAAAGACAGTTCGCTCATTGATTTTTAGGTCTACGGTTTTAAATCTTTAGGATCTACTAGCACTTTTGCATGAACGCCGATCAAAATTCGATAAAATTCCAATTGAGCGCCTTTGAAATCTACAACTCTACATAACAAAGCACTATTGAATAAATTAACTCCCCGGCCAAAGTTTGTACATAAAACATGAGGGTTTTACTTTCTTAGCGGTTTGAACCTTTTAAAATATATATTGATGTTAAATATTGTCTACACAGGACAACCACCTTATGAAACACCAAAATTACCACGAGCTGAAATTAAATCTCACAGGCTCGCTCCGTAATCTGTGTCACGCACGAGCGACTTAGCTACAATTAGTACAGTAACAAAGAGATATTTACATCTGTTAATTTACAATAATTCTTATTTTAAAATATCTTACTCAACGATGTGCCAGGTTCCCCAGTTAACTTGCTGAAGTAAAAATAAAAGAAAATATCATAATAGCAATTCAAACTGAAACGATAAGAATTGATTTTATTAAGAATGAGAAGCTTTATACCGTCGATAGCCAATCAGAAGTACCTGTTCTCACGAAAATTGCATCGTTCTTTAAATAAATAAATCGAATTATCTTTATCTGTGAAACATTGCATCTAAAACCAGAGTTTATTGTCGGGGAACTTCATAGAACAGCGATGTCTTGCTCGTTCTTGAATATTGTTGGTGGGATTTGCGGCGCAGACGAACGCACAAGTTCTTCAACTTCCGTCACGCCTCTCACGCGGTGTAACAGGGATATCAAAAATCACAAAAAGTCGTTGAAATTTTCCGGAATTGAAACGGAGGTAGAATTAATTTTGGCGAGATGTGGATGTTTTCAAAAGCCGGCGAATTTATCGGATATGACTATCTGTCCGGTTCATCGTGCCAAGTTAGGTTTAGGTTGGCGAAGGACGGGTAATCTTTGCACCATCCCGCAAGTTGTTTCTGGTCACTGCAAGGAGCTGAGGAAGGCACCCGCACTGGAAAAAGGAATAAATTTATTCCAATCCATGAAGATATTTGAGCTTTCAAAACAGCTCGTCCCTGTGGGCTCAGGTAAGCAACCAACTACTTGATGTTCTACCAAACAGAAACTGTCTCCAATGAATTATTTTTAGTCTATTCATTCTGATGACTTGAGATTATATGAAAGAATCATTTGTTTAAACGACGGAGAGAAATAAGTAAGGTTGATGAAGGACATTTCGTTACTTATCTCTTCATTCAGTTGTCCAATCCAATTTTTTTATAACAACCTTTATTTCATGCCTCTCATTTTTTTATGGATTGCGCATATATTAGTGTGTGCACTGTATAGTGCCCTACCCACTTTGTCGCCAGGTATGTGAGTGAGTGAGTGAGTGCCGGTGTCCGTAAACAAACAGGTCCGCAGCGCGTGCACAGCACTACCCACATGTATACAATGAGTTCCTATTTTTTATCAGTATCTCTCAGTTCGTACTCAGGGTGTGATTGGTCAATTTTGCGCGGCCCACTAAACTTTAACTAGTTTCCATTCCCGCGCGCCCGATTGACCTCAGAGACATAATGAATATCTTACTAACCTCGTTTCACGGTCTGTAACTTACAGTACGCACCTGGAATTCGGTTAGTAGGGGTTAATTTACTTTGTTTAAAACATTTCAATTTCGTTTCGCAAAAAGCCACTTGAGAAAGATATAAACAATAAACAAAAAAAAAGAAGTCTAATCACAATGCTACTCCCCCCCCTTTCTTCTCACCTCTTATCGCGCAGTCAACTTTCGATTGTTATTTTATTCTGTGGGTCGACAAAACTTCAGACTTTTGTGTTTAAAAAATACGCGCCTTCGGTAATTTCGGAGTTTTGACGGGAGTTTGACTATGTTTTTTCTAAAGGAATTTGCGTAAAATGCAGAAAGATGCTTAGTGTGTATAAGGAAAGAGCACCTGAGAAATGCCAGATGACCGCTGAAGTTTCAGAGATCGCCCAATTCTTGAACAAGTTAAACCTAGTGAGTATACGCACATGCTTTATAATATAATATGAAATACCGGTGGCAAGACACTTTCCCAGTTATATCGCTTATCAGAGACCTTATAGTCTTTCTGTCATGTCAGCCCATCTCTAAACGTTTCTTCAGGTCACCAATAAGCATTCATCCTTTCACTTCACAAAGTCATACAAACTCACAATCCAAAATCATTATGACGTCGTTTACGTCTTGATCTATTCCCCACACTTTAAAGTATATTTAAGGTCTTTTTTTTTATTTTTTATTTTATTTTCCGGGGGGGGGGGGGGGGGCAGGCGAGGGGGCAGGAGAGAGGAGGATGTAGATTGGATGGGTGGCCAACCCTCTCCATTGTGTATCTGCAGAAGTAAGAAAATTAATTTGTACATCAAAACCTAAATACGTTATATTACACCATTTGAAATCTAAAAAAGCATGTGTCGAGGACTGTTAAATTACTTGTCCTATGATATGTGTCCATGGCAGCCAAAATTAGACAGCTCTTAATTAGAATTTCGTTAATTTAAGGTTTAACTGGAAAACTTGGTAATCCAGAGTCGGAAGCAGGGTTCGTGAATGATATAAGGAAGTCATAGGTATTTTAACACTAACTTTACTAGAAGTAAAGTTAGTGTTAAACCAGAAGAAGTTCTAACAGGACAGCAAATCACTGGATTCTTCTCACGACTGGCAGCAAAGAAAAGGCTTCCTCCCAGTACAGTGAACCGGGAAGAGTCGGACGAAGAGACCACTAGAGAAGATGACAGAGCATCACAAGAACAGGTAATCCAATCTGAAATCTGTGCGCAAGTGATGAGAGAGGTTTCCCTTCAGCACCCCATTGTATCGTCGTCAGGTTACAACATCTGTGAACTCATGCACATGGGCAAGAAAAAGCTGATGTCACTGAGTGTGGACATGCTGCGCAGTATTTGCGATGAACTTGGTGTGGACGTCTCTGATATAACACAAAGACGAAAGAATCCGTTTATTAGTCGTCTTTCAAAGCTTGTAGCGAGTGCGGCTGTACCTCATAAGCAGATTAATAAACTGTTTTCTGTTGACTAATTATGCCTTGCGCATAATTGTATACAAGATAACATCATTTATTTTCTTTCGAAAAAATCGTTTCATTTGACCGTTATCTTTTTTTAAAAGTGTGTTCAGTGAAGAGGTAGATACACTAATGGTATGGCGACCACCTCAAGGCTGCCACCGAATTAAACCAGCCAACCAGCCACGTAATGTAAGCTAATTACAGTTGTATATCCATTCAAAGTTTTAGGGCTAAAAAGTTTGAAATTGTCTCCGCAAGAAGCCAAGAAAAATTCAAAGTAACAAAGCTTGACGTACAAGATTGATCAAAGATCTACTTAAATATAGTTTTGTGGGGAAATGGCCATATTGGAGTGATGCAACGACCGTAATTGTGCTATTAAACGTAAACATATAAATGTTGATGTGACGTTTCCACTAGTATACTGTGCAAACTGTGCACTTTGTGGGTGGTTGGGGAGAGAGAGTAGTATGATTGTTAAATCCTTTCCCCCACCCCCTTCCCTCCTTTTTAAATGTCGTAAAAATGACAGTGCACATTTTTATTCTTCGGTGCCCTCTTTGGAAAATTCTTAGTATTTTTCATCGAATATTGTCAAAATTAAACTTTATTTTCTCTATCAATGACAGACTGTAGTGTTGTTTGACAAGCGCAATCAATAAAACATGCAAGTCGTAAAACTCATAGTGTTTTTAATAGTCGCATTGGACAACAGAATGAAGAGGATACAAAACTCATTGGAGACAGTTCCTGCTTGGTAGTACATTTTTTTTTAGTTGTTATTTACCTGAGCCCATAGGGACGAGCTATTTTGAAAGGTCAAATATCTTCATGGATTGGAAAAAATATATTCCTATTCCAGTGCGGCTACTTTTCACAGCTCTTGCTGAGTGACCCGAAACAACTTCCTGTATGGTGCAAAAATTAATACTTTTGAACATGATGTATTACTCAGTAAGTGACACAGGCATAATCGGAAAAAAAATCCGAGTGCTTCATGGGACAAACATCCTGCATACTGCTAGGATTGGAATGTCATGTGTGGCATACGCGCAATGGAATAAATGTGATGGAATATTTTTAAGCCTGGTGAATAAATGAGAATGATGTATTATTCAGTAAGTGACACAGGCGTACTCGGAAAAAAAGAAATCCGAGTGCTCTCGGCCATCAGGAGTCGAAACTATCGACATCGTGTCAGGTTATGCCTAAGTAACACGATGAGACCGTACGGGTAGTCATCTCCAATAGACTCGTTGGCTTTTAAAAAAACGCAATCTTGCTAAAATCAATTCTGGTTCAAGTCCGGAGAGTTTTTTAGGACTTCGTGCGATGTTTTATATCCTTGTTACACAGCGTGAGCAGTGTGACGAAAGCTGAGTAAGGGTAGAAATTAGCCATTGGAAGTTACTTTGCAAGTGCGTTCGTCTGCGCCGCAAATCCCACCGACAATATTCAAGAACGAGCAAGACGTCGTTGTTATGTATGTCTATTAACTTCGCCAACAACATACTCTGGTTATATGGTTAAGTAGATTTGTTTATTTAGAGAACGATGCAATATTTGCTTTTCGTGGAAACGGTTACTTCCGATTGGTTTTCGACGGTACAAAAATTCTCATACTAAATAAAATCAATTCTAATTGAGCTAGAATTACTATTAAGGTTTTCTTTTTTTTTCAGCAAGTCAACTGGGAAACCTGGCACATCTTTGAGTAAGATATTTTAAAAATACGACTTATTTAAAATCAACGGATGTAAATATCTGTTTGTTACTGTACTAATTGTAGCTAAGTGGCTCGTGCGTGACGCAGATTAGGGAGCGAGCCTGTGAGATTTAATTTCAGCTCGTGGTAATTTTGGTGTTTCATAGTTTGTTTTACCTGTGTAGACAATATTTAACATTAATATATATTTTTAAAACGCTTCAAACCGCTAAAAAAGCAAAACCCTTATGTTTTATGTACAAACTTTGGCCGAGGAGTTAATTTATTCAATAGTGCTTTGTTATGTAGAGTTGTAGATTTCAAAGGCGCTCAATTTGGAATTTTATCAAATTTTGATCGGCGTTCATGCAAAAGTGCTACTAGATCCAAAAGATTTAAAACCGTAGACCTAAAAATCAATGAGTGAACTGTCTTTGGTTATAATATCAGAAGATTTGAAGAACTACCGGTCAGCTTTTTTCGTCGCTGAGTTTGGATTATTTTACACCTTCGCGTAAATGAGAAAAGTGTGTCTTCTTAATAGGGTCTCAGTTCGCTCACAAATAAGCAGAGATAAAAATAATTCCCATGGTTTGACTAAGGAAGAATCAATGTATTCAATTATACTTAAGAAAGATTCACAGCTATGTAAACGTCTGTGTAGCGAGAAGCTGAAAAGTGTAAAATTTCGAGTTTCCGCTAGGTGAAATCCGAGCTTCCGGTAGGGTGACCGTTTTTCGTGGTTTTCTGCCGTTATATGGAATATTTCAAAAAACTAACCTCATATCCTTCAGTTAGTTACCTAGGCCTTCAAACTGACAAAGTATGAGCGACATCGATTTTTTGACCGTGGCCACGTTTTTTGAATTTTCCTTGATTTTTACTGACATTTACTCTTAATTCGTGAGTTCGTATAGACTTCCGTAATAAGTTGTCATACACCTTCTGTTCCATCTCTTTTTGCGCAACCTTGGTTTTTTTAGTTATAAAGTCTCAAAAATATCCAGGTCTTAACAATGAATCGTGCCATGATTTTTAAGACAAGCATGGGAATTTTGTTTTTCTCTTTTCTTTTATACGTCCCTTTAAGGCCTTCAAATGAAAAATGAACATTTAAAGAAGAAAGGAAAGCAAATGCTCATGTTAATTTAGTCGCCATGTTTAATCTTTAAAAAAGCATGCAGTTTATGGATTCACACTAGGTCACAACACTCTGGCGACTACGCTTACAATTGTGGTTGCGATTACGACGATCGCGTCACTGGTGTGAACAAGCCTTTCTAACACTAAGAACTTAATTCCTGAGTTATGTTATGATAAGTTTCTGTGCGATTGACAATTTCAAGTCTGGCAGAGGCAGAATTCTTATTATGAAAAGTTAGAAAAAGTTTTGTCAAATTATTTGTGAAATTTGAACAGCATTTAACTCTTTAACTCCCATGAGTGACCAAGACAGAATTTCTCCTTAAAGTATCAGTACAATATCAACCATATAAGTGATGAGAATATAAGAATACTATCAATTTGGGGAAGATTAGTTGATCCAATACTAAATTCTCTGAACTAACATCATAAGAATTGCATGGTTGACAGTAAAGAGAACTACAAATTGTATCTGGGAGTTAAAGGGTCAAGCTTAACTATATAGTTGTGACAAATTTGAGTAAGAGTCTAAAATGGCTTGAAGCAAAACGTTAAAATCACACAGTATTTTACTCTATTGTTTCCTTTTCTTGAGATACATACAATGAACGTGCCAAAAATCTAAGATAAACTAATTCATTGAATTCTTCTGGAGTAGAAGCAATCATAATCTGTGAACGGATTCCTCTTTCGCTCAATTCCCATAAGCTTATCTTAAAGTATTTAAATGTTGAGAATTCGTTCTTCCAGTTTAAAAAAGAAGGCTATTCAATCGGAGCAGAGTAATTTTCGCTCTGTAATGTAGAAATTGTTCGATCAGACATTATTTCCTGTCACGACGATGGAAACTTTAGGGAAAACGGAGCAAATTCATGAGAGTGAATTCATTATAAGATCAGTGTGTTGTAAAAGATGCAGTTGCTAGACTCTTTCAACCTTTTTGTGACAATATCCCCTTGAAAGGAGTCTGGCAGTATGTACCAACTTGTAGGCACACCTTGTGTTGTGTGTGGGTTCTCTGCATTTAGAGGTTTCCCATTTTGTCATTTATGTTTCATTCCCTTAAAGGAAAGCAACGACAATCACGAGACATGGGAGGTCAGCTGCGGAGCTTACAAGAGAAACCGAGAGAAAGTGACGAAGAAGAAAATAGTTCACTCGAACGATTGAGAGAGATGGAGCAGCAGGTGACTCAATTACAAGCACAACTGGAAGAGAAGCATGATCAGTTTGTAAACTCTGAAGCACGAGTGAGAAAGATGGAAGAAGAGCTGACAAACGCTCAAGGACAATTACAAGAGAAGCATGATCAGTTAGTGGCCTCGAAGACACAAGTCCGCGAGTTACAGGAACAAGTGACAAACTTACGAAGACAGTTACAAAATAGAGAGGCAACACAGCAACTGACCAATATCCAAGAGCAACTACAGGGAAAAGACGAAGAAATTGCTGGTTTACGAAATCAAGTGACTGAACTCAAAAAGAGTCTCTCAAAAGCTCAAGAATTAGCGTTAAGAGCACGTCAACCGCAGGAGTCACCTGATTGGATCATTTCACGCGATCAAATTCAGGTGACAGATAAATGCCTTGGAAGGGGAGGCTGGGCACATGTTGTGGAAGGAAAGTTTTGCGGCTGTCCCGTAGCTGTGAAAAAAATCCATGACTTGATTCTTTCCAATCACAACCGCAGTTTGTTTGTGCGAGAAATGAACATAGCTTCAAGATGTCGTCACCCATGTTTGTTGCAGTTCATTGGGGCTACAAATGACGAAGGAAGTCCTTTATTTGTCACAGAGCTGATGGAAACAAGTTTACGAGCACTGTTAGAGCGACCGCTTTCCGCTACTGAATTGTTCGTTATTTCCCTGGATGTGGCTCGAGCATTAAACTATCTTCACCAGAAGCAACCATCTCCCATCATTCACCGGGACATCAGCAGTGCAAATGTGTTGCTATGGCGACAGGCTGACCATTGGCGAGCCAAGGTTTCAGATTATGGCACAGCCAATTTCATGCGACATACCATGACAGTTGCACCTGGAGCGCCAAATTACAGTGCACCTGAAGCAATCACTCAAGATCAAACCGTTAAGGTATGTTTGATTTAATTTTTGTTTTTTTTTTTCCATAATGACCCTTGAGCCAATGATGTGTACCCTAAAATTTTGTTCATTTAACGCGAGGTTGCGGTCATTATCACATCGTCATAGACATTATCATTACCACCAAGTTGATTGCCGCTATTCTGGTTAATAACATTGAATTTACTGTAAGTTGTTTTCGATATTCAGGTTGATGTATACAGTTTTGGTGTTCTTCTTTGTGAGATGTCGATCCAGGAATTTCCAAATCCTAATAAGCGTAAAGACCAAGTTGCACTTGTAACAAACCACGTGATTCGAGATCTCATCCGGAGATGCTTGCGAAAAGAGCCTGAGAAAAGACCGTGTATGGAGAAAATAATCGATGAACTTAAACAGCCAGCGTAGGACAATTTTTGATACTATTGGTTGTGTACATTTAGATATAAAGCGTTGAGGTATTTCCTCCGAAATAATTTGTTCGATAAGTTAATTAGTTAGTCTTCAGACACGGTCAGTATTATTTTATTATGATGATATAGAGAAGTCGTTCATGATAAAATGCAACTAAAAATGAGGATAGCTTTTATCGATAATTTGGAACTGTATCAGCAAAATGTAAGAAAAGAAAAAGAAAAAAAAAGCTAAAGTTTGAATCGTTAGAGAAATTTAGAAAGAAGTACTATTAGTTGGAATTTCCCTAGTCCACAAAGCAATTCAAAAATAGCAGTCGTCATGATGTGTTTTGTTAAAAAGCCTTAAATTGTGAAAATAGTCCATTTGGATGTGCTCTGCGCCCTTTGACATTCCGCATGCCTATAATGGTACACACAAGACGTTGATGTGATCACCAGAGCGCACAGGATAATTGGTCTTAGCACGTAAACCGAAATTCGGTACATAGGGCAATTTCACATCGGCTGTTTTGAGCTACGAGACCATATGCATAAGGTGAAAAAGAGAAAGATAATCAGGTTCACCGTGATACGATTTTTTTTTGTGAACATAGATGAAAGAGAAATACTTTATAAACGGAACGGAACATTTTCTCTCTATTGTTTGAAGTTTAGACGTGGTAAACATAGATTTATATTGAGTAGAGGGGGTAAGTTTCTAAAAAACCCGTGGTGCTGCGTCGGTGGAGGAGTATAACAGGGTAATTTAGTATTATCGACCGAGCTGATAACGTGAATTGGCCACTGTAAAGTGTTCAAAAGCTGACGTTTCGAGCGTTAGCCCTTCGTATATCGCTCTGACGAAGGCTAACGCTCGAAACATCCGCTTTGAAACTCTTTACGGTTGATAATACGAAAATGCTCTATAGATTTATATTGGTATGCTTTGTAACTTTTTTTGTAGGCTATACAAAAAGACAAACTAACTCAATCAAAAACTAAAACAAGAACAAAAAAACTTAACTACAAAACCGTTTGGTGGAGCTATAATGGTAGGAGTGCTTGTAGAATAACAGATCGGATAGTTAACTGATTACTTATGTTTCTTACTGGAAATCAGGTTTTTGAGCTGCAAATAGGTCTAAAATACGGCTTAAAATTGTTGCCTTTTTTGCAATGAATTAGCAATTTTCTGCAAAGAAGTACCTCTCTTTTGCATCATGTTACCAGAAAACTGCATATCTCCCAGCCAATTAGATTGAAGAAAGTTTGTCATTTATTTCAGTTATTAACTGAAGCATGAAAGAAGGCAGTGCTTTTCTTTTATTCAAGCCAAAAGAGGGTGTTAAGATAAAATGTGGAAGTAACTCGATTCAAACACAAAAGATTTGCTAACGACACTGTAGAAACCCATTAACTCGGAATGTGAAGGGAAATGATGAACACTTCAAGAAAAATCTTTGCAAATGTCAATGGGAACGGAAGGCGAATGTGCGTGTTATGCATGAGAACAGGTTACTATTTAACAACTATTTATCGAAGTGGAAGTGGATAGTGGTGAATATTTACCGAACCGCGATGAGGCGAGGTAAATATCCACCGCTAGCCACTGACATTGAGGGAATAGTTGTTTTTACCATATACTAAAACTGTGAGATAATATAGCCCAAAAAGATGATTTCAACTCGCTTATTCTTGCAGCAATTAAAATATTTTCTAGTGCAATCCCGCGCGAGTTGCTCGGCAGTGAATAGCAAAGGATGTTCGAACTTTGAGCGGCCAATCAGAGCACGCCTTTAACACTATCCACTGTTTTAGTATTTACTAAATTTTGTTATGAGTGGAATTTGTTCGTGTGAGATGATTAAGCTGAGCGCATGCCTAAAAAATTATCTCGATCACCAAAGTTGTGAAATTTTATGGGACATGATTACCATACGCTATCTGTAGCTTTGTTGCGAGGATAGCTGACCTGTGAGCACAAAAAACTGAAGATCCGCATTTAATGTTGTTAAATTTTATATTGACTAAGGTATTGCGCAGTATCACTGCTAATACGGTATTGCTGTAGTAACAAAAGCAATAAGTTTTGTATCGTGATCCAACCATTGAGTATAACTCAAACTAGGAAAAGGAAAAAAGAGATAGCTTTAGACCTACCAAAATTTCAACTCCACGTCGTCTCGTATTTTTTCAGCGGTTGCTTGAAATCCGTCGCATTTTCATCAAGTGCCGTAAGCGAGCCAACAGAAACATCGTTGCAGAATACACGGAGATTCCGAGGTTCCGAAACCTACCCGTTATTGATTGAGGGCCAAACTTTGAAAGGCTGTAAAAGTGATACGGCTATACCGCCTTGAAAGGTGTCTCTCTTGCGAGTAAAACTATGGAAGGATCGCGATACCTTTCACTAGTGCTTATTAACAATAGTTTGTAGTAAGCAGGGCATGTTATTATAGTCATTTGTTTTAAAGAGTCACTTTTCGTGGCAGAAGTTAATCAAACGTATCTGAAGTAGACTTCATTCCCGATTGCGGAACGAGTCAATAAAGTGATTGATAAGAAACAAGTAGAGGCTCGCATTAAGTCGCAGATAAAATGTAACTAACAATTCTGTTGTTTTATTAATCGAGTACCGTTATCTAGAACTTTTGGATTTTGGATAGAGATTCAGCAAGTTGATAGCGTGATCAGACCTTCGAACAGCTGTGGTCTGATCTCTCTTCCCTGCACCCTTTCCTAGTGGGCGTAGGCTTTCTTAAGGTGAAATCATTGTCTTGGAGAGGTCCTTGGCGATCTTGAATCCAAGCTCCGGTTAACTGTAATTGTGATTGTAAAGGATGGGCGTAAAGGGAGGAGAGCGTTGTTAAGAGGCTATATATTATATTATATATTATATAATATAATATATATATATTATCTATGGAGTTATTCGAAGTGTTTGACGGTATTCGTGGGAGTGGAACTTTCATAACAGTTTTTATCACTCAAACACTCAAAAGAGTATTTCGTGCCCAGAACGGACCCTGATGGGTCTGCCCGTGGCAACTTGCACACAATATTCTCTGAATTGTCTCCCACTCAAATGCACTCGAGATCCCGACTTTCTAAAGGGCAGGGCAAGTTGGTCCTTTTCTCGGCCATTTCACCCAAAATTGGCTGCGAAGCCGACTACAAGGAAGCCAGGTCTTTCATCATAGCTTTAACCCAAAAAGATGATTTCAACTCGCTTATTCCTGCAGCGATAAAAATATTTTCTGGTGCAATCCCGCGCGAGTTGCTCGGCAGTGAATAGCAAAGGATATTCGAAGTTTGAGCGGCCAATCAGAGCGCGCCTTTAACACCATTCACTGCTTTAGTATATACTAAATTTGTTATAATTATCTCTATCGCCAAATTTGTGAAATTTTATGGGATATGACTACCATACACTATGTGTAGCTTTGTTGCGAGGATAGCTGACCTGCGAGCACAAAAAAACTGAAGATCCCTATTTAATGTTGTTAAATATTTATATCGACCAAGGTGTAGCGCAGTATCACTGCTAACACGGTATTGCTGTAGTAACAAAAGCGAATAAGTTTTGTATCGTGATCCAACCATCGTATCGTATTTTTCCAGCGGTTGTTTGAAATCCTTCGCATTTTCGTGGCATCTAGTGCCGGAAGCGAGCCAACAGAAACATCGTTGCAGAATACATGGAGAGTTCGAGGTTCCGAAACCTACCCATTATTGATTGAGGGCCAAACTTTGAAAGGCTGTAAAAGTGAGACGACTATACCGCCTTGAAAGGTGTCTCTCTTGTGAGAAAAACTATGGAAGGATCGCATTACCTTTCAATAGTGCTCATTAACAATAGTTTGTAGTAAGCAGGGCATGTTATCATAATCATTTGTTTTAAAGAGTCACTTTTCGTGGCTGAAGTTAATCAAACGTTATTGAAGTAAATTTCATTCCCGATTGCGGAACAAGTCGATAAAGAGATTTAGCAAGTGGATAGCGTGATTCAACCTTCGAAAAGCTGTGTTCTGATCTCTCTTCCCTGCACCCCTTCTTAGTGGGCGTAGGCTTTCTTAAGGTGAAATCATTGTCTTGGAGAGGTCCTTGGCGATCTTGAATCCAAGCTCCGGTCAACTGTAATTGTGATTGTAAAGGATGGGCGTAAAGGGAGGAGAGCGTTGTTAAGAGGCTGTTAATTAGACAAATAAATCGTATATTATCTATGGAGTTATTCGAAGTGTTTGACGGTATTCGTGGGAGTGGAACTTTCATAACAGTTTTTATCACTCAAACACTCAAAAGAGTATTTCGTGCCCAGAACGGACCCTGATGGGTCTGCCCGTGGCAACTTGCACACAATATTCTCTGAATTGTCTCCCACTCAAATGCACTCGAGATCCCGACTTTCTAAAGGGCAGGGCAAGTTGGTCCTTTTCTCGGCCATTTCACCCAAAATTGGCTGCGAAGCCGACTACAAGGAAGCCAGGTCTTTCATCATAGCTTTAAAGTTCCTCTACCACTTTCCCGCTCTGACCGGCGTATCTTCACTTGTCACTGTCGGCTATTTGACGTCGCCGTGCATTTTCGTTTTACACCACTCCTGGAAAAATAGGTTAATCCTTTTACGAAGTCGTCAATCGTTTACGCTGGACACTCGGCGAATAAAGTGAAGTTACAAAGAGAATGATATACAGCGCCCTAACCCTCCCACCAAGAACAGTGCTTCGTTGACGTTCTAAGCAAGTTGAAAGTTGCATTAATTATCCCTACCACTCAACATCGCAGCTGTCAATCGTCTGCGCATGTACACTTTTATTTCTTTCTACAGATTTCTTCGAACATTCCATTAATCTTTCGCTTCTTTTGCGAGACAACGGTTTCTCTCGTTTTCTTTTGAAATTTTGCGCGGGAGATTGGCCCGCGGTTAACCAGAATTAATCTCCTGACCCATGCCCGACGCTAGACCGCTGTCTTCAACCCACGTGTAACCCTTGTTATTTCAGAGACACAAAGATGAGACGGTTTCTGACTGTACACGAACTATTGAGTAATAGTTTATTTTGACATAAAACTTAATATGACAGCTCCGGCTTAAAGCTCTACATAGTTACTCTGATATCAACTGTCGTGATCACTGATTCGGGAAGTTTGATCATACTTTTCAAAGCAGATCCAAGAGTTTTCTTTCGTTCGCATTCTGGAATAGCCACTAAATCTACCAAGGCAGACTAAATCATACATACAAATAAACAACAAACAAACAAACACACGTACTGACGACACAAGACACAACAACACACAATCCTGCATGTCAGAAAAAAAATTAAGATTTGTGTTCTTTGTTTTTTTCGCTTTCGGGTCAATATACAATATGTTGAGGGTTGCAGCATATTTCTGCAAACTGATTTCTGAACAAAACAAGTTCTTGGAGAGGAAAAGAGAAAACGACGATTAGCAGGGAAAAGGGACAGAGCTTCTCTATGATCTACTTGGGTCTACATGACCTAATCTACTTACATTTTCACGGACACAAACACCAAGAAGAAATAGTCAACACATTTACTGTACAGCATCTTAGTAAGGAGCAAATTAAGACAGGTTCCTTTTTAAAAAAACTCCCCAGGCCTTTATAACTTTTCTTTTTTGTGAACTTTCTTCGCTTCTGCTTTCGACTAGAAGCAACGGAATAGTTTTGTTTTCAATCAACGAAACATGGAAATCGGGGAGTTTAGAACTGTGGGGGGGGGAGGCAAATATTACAATTACATCACGTTTTAATCCAGGCTGCCTACACTATGGTTTCCTTCCAATACGGGTGAGTTAAAAAGCCTTTTCCATGTTCATAATATAAATCTAAATTATTATATGTACTTATTCACACTTCAAAAGGACAATATTCAGATTTGATAGTAATATTATAAGGAGTCTGCAAACAAAGAAAATCCAAGATGCCCTGGTACACTGCAGTTGAGTGTAACAGGCCCCCCCTGTACGAAGCCTGAGTTACATTCATCTCAGAAATGACCAATAACTACTTAATTTGGAATATTTTAATTTACTCGGTCACCAGGTACCATGAAGAAAGAAATTCTTGTTAAGAGTTTTCACGCGTCTTAAAAAAGAAAGACAAATTTCTACCGAGAGCGCTGGCACGTTTCGTTTCTATGGTAACCACCAGGAAGACAACTTCGTCTTCACTGACATGAGTAACCAATCTCACAAATACATTTTCTTTGCCTGCACACTGTTGAGTTTTTTTCAAGATCTAGCAAATTTCATTGGCTGAGTTCTTGGCGCCTACGGCCAGGAACGTGCGATAAGAAATTCATCTTCTAGGATAAGTTTTCGAGTTTCAAAGAGGACTAAGAACCAAAGAACGCTATGTGGACAGACACCACGCGCTAAATCCCCCGTCCCCCACCCCCAACGAAATTCTCCTTTTCTCGGCACAGAACGATACAGCTGACAGACAAAGTCCTGTGAAAAGCCACAGAAAACTAAACGCTACATTATTCCACTGCATTAAATTTTTTTTTGTACACTACTTTACAAGGCTGGTTTCTGACATAATTTCATCGCTGGTATGTTTGGAGTAGACATTGAAGCCGACGCCCCACTGCATTCCCCGTCCCATATCGGAATAAAACAGCTGAATGTTTGTGTGGTATAATAGCACAGCACATGGCAAGCAGCCTTGGTCAGGGCTGTTCAGAAAGCTGGATGAAAAGTTGGGGAAGGAGAAGAGGGAACCCATCACAGAAGCTCATACTGGCGGAGATGCATCCGCTGGATTATGTCGCGGCAGTCGTTGAACACCCGTCGAATATTCTCCGTGTCTACTGCGCATGTAAAGTGTGGATAATAGTAATGCTTACCATCTCCGCTGGCTGTGCTGATCCGCTAGATGAGACAAAAGAGAACTGTTACATGAAATCCCAAGGTAATATGACACGCGGCGAGGGTAGAGGGTTGGGGGGAGAGGAAGTTTCCAAAATGGAATATTGGAGTTGTTTCCCAAGCGGTTAATTCCTCGAACGGATAGAAGCTGATATCTATCAGAAGTAGAGAGCTAATGTGATTGTTACGTAATCATAATGCCAAGAGAAAAACGCGTGCAATCTTTTACACCACTTTGAAGGCTGTCCTACAATTAGGAAAGAAAGACATCGACGAGGCTCCCTTTAAATGAGAATCCAAGCAGTACTTACAAGGAATTCATCACGAATAAAATATTTAGCTCTTGTCACCGATTCCTCATCCCCAGGCTCTGCCGTGGCTAAACAAAAAAACAATGTAAGTGAAGAGACGATGGACTGTTGTTAAAGAAGATACTACAGAAGATACAGGCTAGTGCCCATCTCATTTTATTTTGTTTTAAAATTCAGACAAAAAGAAGAGAGCTTTCAGTTGACTGAAGGATGGGTAGCAACTACCCAGTGAATAAATTGCTATTTGGCAAGATACTACAGAAGATACAGGCTAGTGCCCATCTCATTTTATTTTGTTTTAAAATTCAGACACAAAGAAGAGAGCTTTCTACAATATAAAATCTGAGTGACCGCATAACCAAAAGAAGAGGAAATTCATCTTGACTTCAGTTGACTGAAGGATGGGTAGCAACTACCCAGAGAATAAATTGCTATTAGTTTCCTAACCGCGTTGACACTGTTATGTTGCTCATTGTGGCGCACATCAACTTATCAACTAGAAAAAACTGTCATAGATTCACGTTAGATTGCCTGACTCAAATCAGTGCACACTGAGCACTAATGCACTTTCACTTGCATTCAATACACTACCTACACCAAATCAAACATATTTCCTGACCATTAACCAAAGGAACTAACTGAGGACGTAAAACAGCCACGATTCAGATAGCAGGGAATATTTAAATTTCCGAAAAGTTAGTGAATACTTTGTAGCTCAATTTATAATCAAATTTTAAAGAGCAGATACGGCTAAAAAATACTCTAACGTGCTTGTTAATGACATAGTAACTAAGCACAAAACAAAATAAGTAGAAATGCACCAATCACGACTCAAAAACATGACCTTTTTAAACCTCTGAGGTATTCCACAGTTAACATCAAGTCATTGAAAGGAACAGAATATAAAGCCGTCGTCAAAAACCTAACACCATTTTTTCTAGAGAAAAGGGTTTTTTTCCCGTCTCGTCACAAGCGTCTGACAAAAAAATGTATTACATACTACGTAATTACTGCTCTACAGATGCACAGACAGTTCAAAAATGGCTTAAGGCACCATGAACATAGACATAGCTTAATTTAAAAGATCAAAAAGTAGACATTAGCATTGTGGCTAAAAATACAGGCGGCCCAGGCTCCAGCTGTGAGATGATCATCTTGCACAATAACAGTCATGGCGGACTATTATAAGAGTTTGTTTGGGAATATTTACGACCGCTTTAAGGAATAAAAAAATACGTCAAATTCTCAATAGAAATACCTCACCTTACTCCCAAATTGTATCACTTGTTATCTGACCGCTTACTTCGATGAAAAGAACCCATTTTAGCGAGTTGTCCATTTCGAGGTTTTCAACGTACCTAAGAAAAGCCCTTTTCTTGAACACTTCCTAAAAGTGTTGATTGCACAAATATCTGTTACTGCTGTAATAAACAACGGAAGCATTGGAAAGGGCATCGGTGGCATCGGGAAGGGCATCAAGAAGAATCATATTTACGTTTTGTAACTTACTGCGTGACGTGCGTGGCGAAAAAAGAAAACTATAACCGTGGTCCCCAAATGAATTCTCCCACCTTTCCCCAAAAAATTTAAAAATTTTTCGCAATTTCGCCTGTTCCTGTTCGTAGGTCTGGCCAAGCCTTTATAGTCATTGGCCCCCGTATAGCCGCTAACCGTGGCTTATAAATACAGGCGTTTAGTGTTACTTGTAAACTCCCCGAAGAAGCCTAAGACAGTTAGACGAAACGCGTCGGAGAATAGAGAAGTTTTACAACTACTGTTCGCAGAGTGCTGCTCACCAGTTTAGATTTAAAAACAATTTTAAAAAATTAGTTGCAATAGCTGAGGCCAGTTTTTCCATGCGAATCGTCTGGATATACCTTTCACGGAGACGCCCACACAACATTATTTGAACTTATTGGAACTCTTTACTAATTTTGTCATGTCAGCTTCCAGTTTGAATTCCTTCAGAACTCGATTACTGAATATCCCTGTACACAGTTTTGTTTTGTTATCTGGAACAGTGGTAAAAAGTATTATTAAACTTGTTAAACTTTCACCTGCCGTTCGGTTCGGACGTTAAGTTTTCATCCCGAGTACATTTGTTAAATTGAATAGGAAAAAAAAACACTTCGAACGGAAAACAGAATTATTTTAACGTCTGGATCTTTTGTAAAAAGGTCTCCTAAACGAGTGGCCTTGACCATAAATATTTAAGCATGGTAAACGCATTAGCCTCAACTTGGCTGTTTCTCGAAGCTCAGTGTTTTCCTGCTTGCCTTTTTCCACGTGAAATGGGGCGATTGAATTTACATAATAAACACTAAAAGAACTACAGCTGATGGAAATTTTAAATTTCTTATCTTAGGCTGTGGATGCAAACCTATTAATGACTCAAAAAATATACAAATCGAGAAAAAAATTTTTGTAGAGTTGCTTAGCTTTTCATTTTTCTGGAATCGAAAGTCGATATTGCAAAATTCAAGTGAAAAGCAAGCCAACTGTCATTAATGCCTTAAACAAGGCAAGATACTTTTTTTTCGTCATACAACAAGTTACATATCGTAAATATCATTCTTCTTGATGTCTTCCCGATGCCTCCGTTCGTTAATAGCAGCAAAAATATTGTTCCAGTCAAAGCGTTCGGAAAATTGCTGAACTTTTTAAGTAGCGAAGTATAACTTGGTAACATTTTGGCTTTACAACACGATTGTTTTCTGCAAGTTACAAAGCGTAAATATGATTCTTCTTGGTGCTTTTCCGAATACCACCGATGCCTTTTCCGATGCCTCCATTATTTATTACAGCGGTAAAAGATATATGTGCAATCAACACTTTTGAAGAATTGCTTAACATTTTATTTAGCGAAGTATATTGTTAACATTTTGGCTTTACAAATACTATTCTTTTCTGCAACTACAACTGATATGTCTCTATATGAAGTATTAAAGTTGTTTCCCCGCTGACCACTTGTATTTCGGTCATTTCTTCTTCCCCGCTCCTCCCCGCTCCTCGCCCGTGATGTAATAACTCCCCCTCCCTTTCCGTCGCGAGCAATGCATGGTTTGTTTACAGAAAAAGTGGAATCATCGTTCCTGTATGCTCAGCACGAAATGGAAGAACCCAGTATAAAGTATATTCTTCTACGCGGTCGTGTCGGACTCTCGGTTGAAAAAAACATGTTGTCGCTCGGCCTTACGACGAAGTCTACACCAATGCAAGTTTTGCAAGGCGAGCTATTAGAAGGTGTTCCTGAGGCTGAACAGCCTACAGACTCAACTAAAGTTGCTGTTGTTGGAATTGAACGTAAATCATTACGTCTTGAATGTCCTACGGAGGATATGGTTCGACTATCTGAGGAAGACACCAACTTGCTTTTAGCAATTACTTCAGCTGAAAGAAGATACCTAACGTATTTAGATAGGAAACGTCTGACATTTGGACGACAATTGTTACCCGGAAGTGCTGTTTTCGTTGAAGTGAAAGGAGTTTCAAAGGTTTTGCCTGGTGTTGTTTGGTACATAGGTAAATTACCGCCCAGTCTGGGAACTTGGTTTGGAGTTGAACTCATTGTAAGTACTCGTGCACTAGTGAAGTCGTGTTGTTGGATGTAACAATTTACATTATGAAAATTTCCTACAGATAGCAACAACACAGATTTTACGAAATTATCATGGAGACAACATTTCACACCGAGTTAAACTGAGTTCTTAACTTCTCATCAGTATTTCAGTTAACCTGCTCAGACTTACTAAAGTTGATTTCAACTTCTAGAATCTTGTCTTCGATGTCTACCTTCCAAGAAGACTCTTAGACTGAAGGGATTTAAGCTTTGATGCACCTGCGTATAGTTTTGAAAATTCACCTCTCTTGATTTACCAGTATCGACAACTTCATTTTACATGGGCTTCCTTTCCAGGATTTATAACTTCACAGTAAATAATGTTGTTGATTCCGTTGTTTGTGCTTTTATAAAGAACCAAAACAACCCCATAGAAAAGTCTTATTGTGTTAAACTTTGCCAATTAGCGTGGAAACTGTCACCCTGCTCTTAAGTGAATTTTTGAAGCTGTCTTCCACCTTCTTTTACAGAGCTGGGACTTTCACAAATCTCAAAAATAGTTTTTCTTCTTAACCTTTAATTTGTGACCTTTCAAGGAGATTCTGCTCATCAAAGCCAGGAAAGTGATAATTAATATCACCTTACTTGGAAAATTCACAATTTTGTTTACTTTCAACACACTTCATTAATACAGCAAACTATAAAAACAGTTTCATCTAGGACAACCTTGTCACTTTCCTGAGGTGACATTTGTGACCTGCTTTAGAAAAACTCATAACCACAGGTTTTAGATTTCAAACTGAATTCTGTTTGCTTGCAGATTCTTAGCAATTCAAAGTAGCAATTCAAACTAGCATACCATGGCATGAAATTGCACCTAATACAGGGGCCAATGTGACTAAATTTTTCACTTTGGTGACCAAATCCTGAAAATTAGTCGCCAAATTGGCAACTAGAATGTTTCATCATAACCTTAGCTAGAGATATAGTGAATTAAAAAGATTTGCAAAGACAAATCCGCGGCAAACTTCCTCGTTAAGTTTGTTTCCAAAACACAGCACATGCATCTCCATCGATAACTAGATGCCATCTAGGATTTAGGTAAGCTTAAACATTGCATATCATCCATCCTAGTGTCCACTTTGTAGCACGTTAAAGATCTTTTCCCTAACTTAATTTCTAGAACAATGACAGCATAAAAAAAAGGTTTTGTTTGTCGTTCAAAATGGCAACCAACTTTTTTGAATTGGCCACCACTTTGAAGAATTCAGGAGCCAAGTGGCTATCAGAAAAAAAAATTAATTTCACACCCTGCATACCTTCTCAAGTAGCTTAAGTGACTGTTGAAAAAGTTCCAACAGTTGTTTGAACTGTTTTGGCATCTATTCAGTTAAAATCTCCTCTTGTTTTAATGGAGGAGGGTGACATACAATTGCAAACAATTTGCATCTACTAAGCCAACTATCACCCCAGTTTGAACAATAATTTCTCTAAGTTTCAAAATGACAAGTGTTTTGATTGAAACAAGTGAGTGTTAAATTTTAAGGCAAAGACAATTTTCTCCATCAAACCCAAGTATCTTATTATCACTGCACTATGAAGTTTTGTATAATGATTAGCAGCAAGGAGCAGCTGTAGTAGTTGAAAGGAAACTCTTAGATTCATAGTAGTAAGATGTAGTGGAAAGAAACTGACTATTATTTAGAATGAGCATCTCAAGAATTCAATGAGCTATTTTTTGCCCACAACTTGGATTTTTTTTCTACTTCATAACTGTCATGAAGTCACTAGTAAAGTTCACAAACAATATGTAATTGTAAAACTTGCCTTTCAAACAGTTATGTGCAAGGTGTCATCTCTATTTAAGAATATGTCATGTTTACTGTTAAGATTTTAAAATGCTACTTTCTTGATGGTATGGTGTACATGTATGTTGCACTCTGGATACTGAACAGTCAGTAGGGGATAAAATTTTCATTGATTACAATGGCACCCATGGGAATGATAATGATGATGATAATGATGAAAGTCATGATGATGGTTAATGTTGACAATAATCTTCAATAATAATGATTATGATCTGTGGTTTAACATATCTAGAAACATCCAGGGTCAGGAACGTGCGATGGAACATTTAGAAACAAGCGTTACTTTACCTGTGAGCCAGACTGTGGGATTTTTGTTGGACTGGACAAATTGACACCTAGAGATGATGAAGATGACTTGAAATCTTCAAAAATTGTGAAAAAAGACAAAATGGAAGTACCCAGTATGAAGTTTATTCTTCTAATGGAGTGTTTGGGACATGTAGTTGAAAAAAACATGTGGACACTCGGCCTTACGACAAAGTCTAAACAAATATGTGTTTTACGAGGTGAGTTATCAGAAGCTCTTCCAGAGGCTGAACAGCCTGCAGACTTAACTAAAGTAGCTCTTGTTGGAATTGAATGTAAATCATTACGTCTTGAGTGTTCAATGAAGGATATGGCTCAACTATCTGAGGAAGAAACCAACTTGCTTTTAGCAATTACTTCACCTGAAGGAAGATACAAAGCATATATAGATAGGAAACATATGGCATTTGGCCAACAATTGTCAATTGGAAGTGCTGTTTGGGTTGAAGTGAAAGGAATCACACAGATTTTGCCTGGTACTGTTTGGTATAAAGGTGTATTACCGCCCAATCTGGGAACTTGGTTTGGAGTTGAACTCATAGTAAGTACTCATGCACTAGTTAAGTCGTGTTGCTGGCTGTAACAATTTACATTATGTACATTTTGTACAGATAGCAACACAACTAAGGTACTACATAATACCGAGTTAAGCTTGCTTTTACATCTCCCGAGTATTTCAATGTCCTCAATGTCTAGTCTATCTTCCTAGGAGACTCTTAGACTGAAGGGGAGATTTAAATGATTCATTCAATAGTATGTAATTGTAAAACTTGCCCTTCAAACGGTCGTGTACAATATGTCATCTCTATTTAAGAATAATGTCATGCTTTCTGTTAAGATTTTAAAATCCTGCTTAGTATGGTGTACATGTATGTTACACACTGGATGCTGAACAGTGTGTATGGGATAACATTTTTATTGATTGCAATGGCACCCATGGTGATGATGATGATGATGATACTGATGAAAGTCATGATGATAGTTGATGATGACAATAATCTTCAAATTAATGATTATGATCTGTGGTTTAACATATCTAGAAACATCCAGGGTCAGGAACATGCGATGGAACATTTAGAAACAAGCGATACTTTATCTGTGAGCAAGACTCTGGGGTTTTTGTTGGACTGGACAAATTGACACCTAGAGAAAATGAAGATGACTTGAAATCTTCAAAAATTGCAGAACAAGACGAAAACATTCAGGCTAAACTTAAATCAAGTCTTCAGGATTCAATATCGTCATTTTGGAAGGGAAAACACGAGCAAAGGCCATTTCAAGGAATTGATGGAGTGCTTAAGACTGGTGAAAGAGTTGTGACAGTTATTGAGGATAGTCCAGCCAGGGGAACTGTGCGATATATTGGTGAGGAGGAGGATTCAACTAGAAATTTTCGTACAATTGTAGGATTAGAACTGGTAAGTTCATGAACATGCTTGTTTAACCAAATGTGATTAAGCTTTGTATTTAATAAAGAGTTATCCAGCTATCAGAGGAGATTAAACTGAATGATTAGTTTCGTTTTCCCGTTGCATTCTCGCGCGTGAAAATGGGTCTATAGTTTCTGCAAAGAGGAAATGAAAGAAAGAAAAGAAATAATTGATAGGTGTAGGGTGTAGGTTTCGGATGGGTCGAGTAACATTGAGTAACTGACGTTTGCATTTTTGCGAAAGAAAAACAGCTTTCACCTTCAAAAGATTCCAATGAAAAATATCGTTCAAAAAATATATGAAATAAACTCAGACATACGTATATTACGGTCTATTGCCGTTTGTATCTGAATAATTGTAAGCAAAAATAATTTTATCGGTGCCACGCCTCCCGTACTCTCCTCCACAGTCGTTGTTTGGTCTCGTCATGCAACACGCCCTCTTCCACGTTTAGTGACGAGACCAAACATTATGGCCAGCTGGAAAGCTAAGACAAGGCTTAGTGCTGTTCCTTCGTGAGAGACAAATCAACATTATTTGGTTACAGCTAGTTGCCTAAAAATATTTGTTCACATAATTTTGCCGTGGGAAGCAAACCAAAACTATATTTTATCTCCAATAGCCTCAAACCAGAGATATTTTGTGGCCTCCGTTCTTCAAACAAGTGAAAATACAATAGACGAAGAGAATTGTGTCATATTTCAAAGGTTTTCACGTGGGCATAACAACGTTCCTCATTTGGTTGTTGCCTTTCTGGACTTTGCCCAGTGCGTGCTGAATACGTGATAAAGTATTGGCGGGTTGTTTACAAAAAATTAAGACATGACAGGGTGAAGTCTAAGGTAGCGGAAAGCGAAGTTGATTGGTAGAAAACATCTAAGCACGTGAGAAGTGCGTGGAAAATTTACTAATATATTTCATGTGGGGGAGGATTATGTCATAAAATTTAGGTTGTTTACTGGAAGCTTTTCACTAGAGAAAACTAATTCCATAGTGATAGGTAAACATGTAATTATAGAAAGAAAACAACGTTTAAGCACAAGATGTAATTCGTAGAGAACTTTTAAAAGCGCAGAAACAGTCATTTCTTATCGCAGTCGACGAAGAAAGTAAATATAACTTGCTGATCTTTTCAACCTTCGCCAGAAGAGCAAAAAGTAAAAAAGTACGTGAAAAATGTTCTAGTCAATTTTCCAATGTCAAGGTTAGAGTTCTTTGACTTGATTGGCTCATTTGTAAAATCACGCGCGCCGTGCGTGAATATAAAAAGAATACAAAGGGGGAGAGGAAGAGAAAAATTGTTATTTTAAATTTAAAAACAAAGGAGGTGTTCTATCTTCATCTGCGATAGAAGTCACGGGTTTAGGCCACAGGCAGACCACTTATTGGTGCGACAGGAAGGATAAACTTTTTGAATTTAAAGGAATGCGTAAAGGACTGAAATATTAAACCGAACACCGTATCTTTGTCTAAAAAGCTTTAATAACATGAAACGAAATGTTGGTACACTTAAGTATAGCGTTGTTAGCCCACAACTACCAAACTCTGATTAGTCAATTCGAGGCAAACAATTAAGTGCATTAACATTTCGTTCCACTTTAAATGAGGTTTTTGGACAAAAATGCTGTAAATTTTATCTTTCACTCCTGTAAGAAGTTTTCCCTACCACGTGGTCGACCTGTTGGGTGGTCTGCCTGTGGTTAGGTTGTCCAGTATTAAACTGCAGAGGGAAACTGGTAACTGCAACCTTTTTCGTTAGCTCATGTATCAATGATGAGCAGAGTTGACAAAGAATTAAAAATTTTCATTTTACGTTCCGAAGGCATTATTTAAAAGAAACTGATTGGGACGTAGCTGGTTTTGATTGGAATATAATTTGAGTGTTACTTCTTTAAAATTAGGTCCGGTTTTGTTTTGTTTTCTTATTGCAGATTTTTTTAAGCGAACCTACTGAAACTAAAAGTGTATATACAAGCTGGGTAATAGAGTTTAAACTGGTTGTAAGAAAAATACCTACACTGTAATTGGCGAAGTAGTGTTTTAAAAGTTGTTGTGTCCGTCTGTCACATTTTTATTTAGGATGAAAGATTGGGAGTTGGTTGTGGTGAAAGACTTGGCTCTCTAAAGTTTGTTTGTAAGAGGGATTTTGCAGCATTTGTACCGTTGGAAACTGTCATACCAGAGAAGGACTTTGATGGTTATTTTGGAGAAGCTGCAGGACAAGAAGCTCAGGGAAAGCGGGAGCAAATTCATGAAGACGAAATGTATGCAAGATCAATGAGCTGTGGTAATTTACCATCAGGTAGACAAATGATTTGATATCTCAGTTGTTTTATAAATTTTTGGTTCACCTAGTCAAGCACACCATGCATTATGAAGCAGAAAATCACAATCTGTGAACTGATGTCTCTTTCACTCAATTCCCAGAAAACATTCAGATGTTGAGAAATTGTTCTTCCAATTTAAAAAAAGGGTATCAGATTGAAACTTTTAATTTTTGTTTCTTGGACATTTTAAAACACTGAAGCTTTAGTTGTATGGTGACATGGTGTCCTCGAGTGCTTTTTTTCCTCTGAATTTTTAGATCTTTTGCAAGTAAAATTATATGTATGAATGGTTTGTGACAGATTGATATGCAACTTTGCTACTACTGGGGTCAGAATGAATACTGGGATTGACCAACCCTCTACCAGGTCCCTCAAAGGGCATGTTGTTTTGCGCGGCCTTGATCTTTGTTGTTGTTGTGTGAGATGCAGAGCCGAAAAAAGTGTTGCAAATTCCTCTAAAGTTGGATGTTTGCATACCTTTTTTCTTTCCGAAGAGATCATTGATCTATGTGGGGACGTGTAAGGTACAAAATTTTTACAAAAACCCGGCTTTTATTTTCAATTCGTGGGTTCATGTAGACTTCCGTGATAAGTAGTCATACACCATCCGTTTCATTCCATTTTGCGCAACCTTGATTTTTTTAGTTACAGAGTCTCGAAAATATCCAGGTCTTAACGATGAATCGTGCAGAGATTTTAAAGATGAAAACTTTAAAAGACAAGCATGGGAATCTGTTTTCCTCTTTTCTTTTATACGTCCCTTCAACGACTTCAAATGAAAAATGAACCTTTAAAGAAGAAAGGAAAGCAAACGCTCATGTTAATTCAGTCGCCATGTTTAATCTTTGAAAAAGCCTGCGGTTTATTGATTCACATAAGGTCGTAAAACTGGCGACTACGCTTATAATTGTTGTTGCGATTACGACGATCGCGCACTGGTGTGCACAAGCCTTTCTAACACTGAGAACTGTTTCTGAATGATGTCATGATAAGGTGCAGTGCAGTTCACGAATTTCTGGTCTGTCACAGGCAGAAGTGTTGTCAAATTATTTGTGAAATTTGAACAGCATTTAAACATAACCCTATTGTTGTGACCAATTTGAGTAAGAGTCAAAAATAGCTTGAAAAAAACGTCAAAATCGTACATTATTTTACTTTATTGTTTCCTTTCCTTGAGATGCATGCAATGAATGTGCCAAAAAAACTAAGACGAACTAATTCATTGAATTCTTCTGGAGTAGAAGCAATCATAATCTGTGAACCGATTCCCCTTTCACTCATTTCCCATAAGCTTAAAGCATTTAAATGTTGAGACTTAAAAAAAGAAGCCTATTCAATTTGAGCATCAGTTTTACCTTGAACCTTTTGAAACACTTAAGTTTTAGATGCATGGTGACATGTCGTAAAGTGCATTTTTTTTCTGAATTCTCAGGTCTTTTGCAGGTAGAATTATTTGTATGAATGGTTTGCGATGGTTTAATTGTCAGACAAGTTTTGAAATTGGAAAGGCATCTGGGGGTACTTTTATTGTAGTAGTGCATAGAACATAGCTTGAAGCATTGTGGTGAGGAAAACATGGTGGATTCATTTTGTATCTTCATCTTAGTTACTAGTACGGAATCTGTCAAAAAACTAAGAAGAGCAACTTTAATGACCTTTGCTGAAACAGAACTCATGATGGCAGCTGGAGAATCCAGCAAAACCAATCGACAGAAATTTATAGAGAAACGACGTCAGATGCTCAGGGAGTTTGAGTGTAAAAACCTGCCCAGTGACAATCAAGATAATGCTGTCATCACACACGATGCAGAAAGGAGAGACAGTACCGAAGATTTTCACTTTAATGATGCTCCTTTCAAAGACACTCCTCTGGTCAGTTGTGGTCAAACTTGGGAAAGGACGGTTCACCTCGGTTTGGCCAGTAGTGACCCCGAGAATAGAAGACGAAAAACTCTTGGTAAGTTTCAAACATAAAGTGGTTCTTTACAAGCAACATAACATCAGGCAGGCATCTTCCAAGTACATGCACCTTGTGTAAAATACCTACTCTAAACTAGCACTTTCATTCATGTTCATCTAGTGAGTGTGAGTGAAATGTCTTGTACTGTCGGGACAAGAATATTTTTCGCTCTGTAATGTAGAAATTGTCCATCAGATTTCTCCCTAGACATCATTTCTTGTCACTACGATGGAAACTCTAGAGAAAACGGAGGAAATTCATGAGAGTGAATTGATTATAAGATCAGTGAGTTGTAAAAGATACAGTTGCTAGACTCTTTCAACCTTTTTGTGACGATATCCCCTTGAAAGGAGTCTTGGCAGGCAGTATGTATCAACTTGTAGGAACACCCTGTGTTGTGTGTGGGTTCTCTGCATTTAGAGGTTTCCCATTTTGTCATTTATGTTTCATTCCCCTCAAGAAAAGCAACGGCAATCACGAGACATGGAAGGTCAGCTGCCGAGCTTGCAAGAGAAACCGAGAGAAAATGACGAAGAAGAAAAGAATTTACTCGAACGATTGAGAGAGATGGAGCAGCAGTTGGCTCAATTACGAGCACAACTGGAAGAGAAAGAGTCCGAAAAGCAGGAACAAGGTGACAGATTACAGAGACAGTTGCGGGAGATGGAGCAACGGTTGGCAGACGAACACGAACGACTGCAGGAGAAGCATGATCAGCCTGTGAACCCCGAAGCACAAGTGAAACAGATGGAGGAACAGCTGACAAACGCTCAAGGACAGTTACAAGAGAAGCATGATCAGTTAGTGAACTCCAAAGCACAAGTGAAAAAGATGGAGGAACAGCTGACAAACGCTCAAGGAAAGTTACAAGAGAAGCATGATCAGTTAGTGAACTCCGAAGCACAAGTGAAAAAGATGGAGGAACAGCTGACAAACGCTCAAGGACAGCTACAAGAGAAGCATGAACAGTTAGTGAACTCAGAGACACAAGTCCGGGAGACAGAGGAACAAGTGACAAACTTACGAAGACAGTTACATGAACATTTAGTGAATTCAGAAGTACAAATTAGAGAGGCGACACAGCAATTGACCGATATCCAAGAGCAACTACAGGGAAAAGATGAAGAAATTGCTGGTTTAAAAAATCAGTTAACTGAACTCGGAATGACTCTCTCGACAGCTCAACAATTGGCGTTAAATGCACGTCAACGGCAGGAGTCACCTGACTGGGTCATTTCACGCGATCAAATTCACGTGACAGATAAATGCCTCGGAAGGGGAGGCTGGGGACATGTTGTGGAAGGAAAGTATTGTGGTTGTGCCGTAGCTGTGAAACAAATCCATGAGTTGATTCTTTCCAATCACAACCGCAGTTTGTTTGTGCGAGAAATGAACATAGCTTCAAGATGTCGTCACCCATGTTTGTTGCAGTTCGTTGGGGCCACAAATGACGAAGGAAGTCCTTTGTTTGTCACAGAGCTGATGGAAACAAGTTTACGAGCACTGTTAAAGCGACCGCTTTCCGCTACTGAATTGTTCGTTATTTCCCTGGATGTGGCTCGAGCATTAAACTATCTTCACCAGAAGCAACCATCTCCCATCATTCACCGGGACATCAGCAGTGCAAATGTGTTGCTATGGCGACAAGGTGACCAATGGCGAGCCAAGGTTTCAGATTATGGCACAGCCAATTTCATGCGACATACCATGACAGTTGCACCTGGAGCACCAATTTACAGTGCACCTGAAGCAGTCACTAAAAACCAAACCGTTAAGGTATGTTTGATTTAATATTTGTTTTTTTTCTCCACAATGACCCTTTGTCAATGGTGTGTATCCTCAAATTTTATTCACTTAACGCAAGGTTGCGGTCATTATCACATCGACATCGACATTATCAATACCACCGAGTTGATTGGCGATATTGTGGTTAATATCATTGAATTTACTGTAAGTTGTTTTCGATATTCAGGTTGATGTATACAGTTTTGGTGTTCTTCTTTGTGAGATGTCGATCCAGGAAATGCCAGATCCTGAAAAGCGTGAACATCAAGTTGCACTTGTAACAAACCATGTGATTCGAGCTCTCATCCGGGGATGCTTGCAAACAGAGCCTGAGGAGAGACCGTGTATGGAGGAAATAATCGATGAACTTGAACAGCCAACGTGAGACAATTTTTGATACTATTGGTTGTGTACATTTAAATATAAAGCGTAAAGGTATTTCCTCAGAAATAATTTGTTCGGTAAGTTAGTTAGTAAGTCTTCAGACACGGTCAGTATTATTTTATTATGATGATATAGAGAAGTCGTTCATGATAAAATGCAATTATAGATGAGGATAACTTTTATCAACAATTTGGTACTGTATCACCAAAATGTGAGAAAATATAGTTAGATAGATAGTTTGAATCGTTAGAGAAATTTAGAAAGAAGTACTTTTAGTTCGAATTTCTTTAGTCCATGAAACAATTCAAAATAGTGGTCGTCATGATGTGTTTTGTTGAAAAGCCTTAAATTGTGAAAATAGTCCATTTGGATGTGCTCTGCGCCCATTGACATTCCGCATGCCTATACTGGTACGCGCAAGACGTTGATGCGGTCACCAGAGCGCACAGGATAATTGGTCTTTGTGCGAAATGCGGTACACAGGGCGATTTCACATCGGCTGTTTTGAGCTACGAGACAATATGTATAAGGTGAAAAAGAGAGAGATTATAAGGTTCACCGTGATACGATTTTGTTTTGGTGAACATAGATGAAAGAGAAATACTTTGTAAACGGAACGGAACATTTTCTCTTTATTGTTTTGAAGTGTAGACGTGGTAAACATAGATTTATATTGAATAGAGGGGGTAAGTTTCTGAAAAAACCGTGGTGCTGCGTCGGTGAGATAGTATAACAAGGTAATTTAGTGTTATCAATTGAGTTGATACCGTCAAGAGTTTAAGAGCTGACGTTTCGAGCATTAGCCCTTCGTCAATCGCTTTGACAAGGGGCTGACGCTCTAAACGTCAGCTTTTAAACTTTTCACTGTGGCCAAGTTACGTTATCAACTCAGTTGATAATACGAAATTACCTTATAGATTTATATTGGTATGGTTTTTTAACTTTTTTGTAGGCCATGCAAAAAGACAAACTAACTCAATCAAAAACGAAAACAAGAACGAAAAAAACTTAAGTACAGGACCGTTTTGTGGAAAAATGATGGAAGGGGTGCTTGCAGAATAACAGATCAGATAGTAAACTGATTAGCGTATGTTTCGTACAGGAAATCAGGTTTTGAGCTGAGAGTAGGTTCAAAATACGGCTTGTTTGTTACCTTTTTTGCGCCGAATTAGCAATTTTCTTCACAGAAGTACCTCTCTTTCGCATTGTGTTACCTGAAAACTGCATATCTCCCAACCAATCAGAATGAAGAAAATTTGTTATGTAAATTTGTCACCAACATTGAGGGAATAGTTGTGTTACCACATACTAAAACCGTGAGATAATATAGATAATATAACCCAAAAAGATGATTTCAACTCGCTTATTCCTGCAGCGATAAAAAAATTTATTTTAGTATATATTAAATTTGTTATAATTATCTCTATCGCCAAAAATGTGAAATTTTATGGGATATGACTACCATACACTATGTGTAGCTTTGTTGCGAGGATAGCTGACCTGCGAGCACAAAAAAACTGAAGATCCGTATTTAATGTTGTTAAATATTTAAATCTACCAAGGTATAGCGCAGTATCACTGCTAACACGGTAGTGCTGTAGTAACAAAAGCGAATAAGTTTTGTATCGTGATCCAACCATTGAGTATAACTCAAACTAGAAAATGAAAAAGGAAGATAGATTAAGACCTACCTTAATTTCAACTCCATGTCGTATCGTATTTTTCCAGCGGTTGCGTGAAATCCCTCGCATTTTCGTGGCACCTAGTGCCGCAAGCGAGCCAACAGAAACATCGTTGTAGAATACATGGAGAGTTCGAGGTTCCGAAACCGACCCATTATTGATTGAGGGCCAAACTTTGAAAGGCTGTAAAAGTGAGACGACTATACCGCCTTGAAAGGTGTCTCTCTTGTGAGTAACACTATGGAAGGATCGCGTTACCTTTCAATAGTGCTGATTAACAATAGTTTGTAGTAAGCAGGGAATGTTATTATAATCATTTGTTTTAAAGAGTCACTTTTTGTGGCTGAAGTTAATCAAACGTTTCTGAAGTAAATTTCATTCCCGATTGCGGAACAAGTCGATAAAGAGATTTAGCAAGTGGATAGCGTGATCCAACCTTCGAACAGCTTTGTTCTGATCTCTCTTCCCTGCACCCCTTCTTAGTGGGCGTAGGCTTTCTTACGGTGAAATCATTGTCTTGGAGAGGTCCTTGGCGATCTTGAATCCAAGCTCCGGTCAACTGTAATTGTGATTGTAAAGGATGGGCGTAAAGGAAGGAGAGTGCTGTTAAGAGGCTGTCAATTAGACAAATAAATGGTATATTTGCTATGAAGTTATTCGAAGTGTTTGACGGTATTCGTGGGAGTGGAACTTTCATAACAGTTTTTATCACTCAAACACTCAAAAGAGTATTTCGCGCCCAGAACGGACCCTGATGGGTCTGCCCGTGGCAACTTGCACACAATATTCTCTGAATTGTCTCCCACTCAAATGCACTCGAGATCCCGACTTTCTAAAGGGCAGGGCAAGTTGGTCCTTTTCTCGGCCATTTCACCCAAAATTGGCTGCGAAGCCGACTACAAGGAAGCCAGGTCTTTCATCATAGCTTTAAAGTTCCTCTACCACTTTCCCGCTCTGACCGGCGTATCTTCACTTGTCACTGTCGGCTATTTGACGTCGCCGTGCATTTTCGTTTTACACCACTCCTGGAAAAATAGCTTAATCCTTTTACGAAGTCGTCAATCGTCTATGCTGGACACTCGGCGAATGAAGTGAAGTTACAAAGAGAATGGTATACAGCGCCCTAACCCTCCCACCAAGAACAGTGCTTCGTTGACGTTCTAAGCTAGTTGAAAGTTGCATTAATTATCCCTACCACTCAACATCGCAGCTGTCAATCGTCTGCGCATGTGCACTTTGTTTCCTTCTACAGATTTCTTCGAACATTCCATTAATCTTTCGCTTCTTTTGCGAGACAACGGTTTCTCACGTTTTCTTTTGAAATTTTGCGCGGGAGATTGGCCCGCGGTTAACCAGAATTAATCCCCTGACCCATGCCCGACGCTAGACCGCTGTCTTCAACCCACGTGCAACCCTTGTTATTTCAGAGACACAAAGATGAGACGGTTTCTGACTGTACACGAACTATTGAGTAATAGTTTATTTTGACATAAAACTTAATATGACAGCTCCGGCTTAAAGCTCTACATAGTTACTCTGATATCAACTGTCGTGATCACTGATTCGGGAAGTTTGATCATACTTTTCAAAGCAGATCCAAGAGTTTTCTTTCGTTCGCATTCTGGAATAGCCACTAAATCTACCAAGGCAGACTAAATCATACATACAAATAAACAACAAACAAACAAACACACGTACTGACGACACAAGACACAACAACACACAATCCTGCATGTCAGAAAAAAAATTAAGATTTGTGTTTTGTTTTTTTCGCTTTCGGGTCAATATACAATATGTTGAGGGTTGCAGCATATTTCTGCAAACTGATTTCTGAACAAAACAAGTTCTTGGAGAGGAAAAGAGAAAACGACGATTAGCAGGGAAAAGGGACAGAGCTTCTCTATGATCTACTTGGGTCTACATGACCTAATCTACTTACATTTTCACGGACACAAACACCAAGAAGAAATAGTCAACACATTTACTGTACAGCATCTTAGTAAGGAGCAAATTAAGACAGGTTCCTTTTTAAAAAAACTCCCCAGGCCTTTATAACTTTTCTTTTTTATGAACTTTCTTCGCTTCTGCTTTCGACTAGAAGCAACGGAATAGTTTTGTTTTCAATCAACGAAACATGGAAATCGGGGATTTTAATTTACTCGGTCACCAGGTACCATGAAGAAAGAAAATTCTTGTTAAGAGTTTTCACGCGTCTTAAAAAAGAAAGACAAATTTCTACCGAGAGCGCTGGCACGTTTCGTTTCTATGGTAACCACCAGGAAGACAACTTCGTCTTCACTGACATGAGTAACCAATCTCACAAATACATTTTCTTTGCCTGCACACTGTTGAGTTTTTTTCAAGATCTAGCAAATTTCATTGGCTGAGTTCTTGGCGCCTACGGCCAGGAACGTGCGATAAGAAATTCATCTTCTAGGATAAGTTTTCGAGTTTCAAAGAGGACTAAGAACCAAAGAACGCTATGTGGACAGACACCACGCGCTAAATCCCCCGTCCCCCACCCCCAACGAAATTCTCCTTTTCTCGGCACAGAACGATACAGCTGACAGACAAAGTCCTGTGAAAAGCCACAGAAAACTAAACGCTACATTATTCCACTGCATTAAATTTTTTTTTGTACACTACTTTACAAGGCTGGTTTCTGACATAATTTCATCGCTGGTATGTTTGGAGTAGACATTGAAGCCGACGCCCCACTGCATTCCCCGTCCCATATCGGAATAAAACAGCTGAATGTTTGTGTGGTATAATAGCACAGAACATGGCAAGCAGCCTTGGTCAGGGCTGTTCAGAAAGCTGGATGAAAAGTTGGGGAAGGAGAAGAGGGAACCCATCACAGAAGCTCATACTGGCGGAGATGCATCCGCTGGATTATGTCGCGGCAGTCGTTGAACACCCGTCGAATATTCTCCGTGTCTACTGCGCATGTAAAGTGTGGATAACAGTAATGTTTACCATCTCCGCTGGCTGTGCTGATCCGCTAGATGAGACAAAAGAGAACTGTTACATGAAATCCCAAGGCAATATGACATGCGGCGAAGGTGGAGGGTTGTGGGGGGGGGAAGACAGAGGAAATTTCTTAAATGGAATATTGGAGTTTTTTCCCACGCGGTTAATTCCTCGAACGGATAGAGGCTGATATCTATCAGAAGTAGAGAGCTAAATGTGATCGTTACGTAATCATAATGCCAACAGAGAAAACTAATGCAATCTTTTATATCACTTTGAAGGCTGTCCTACAATTAGGAAATAAAGACATCAACGAGGCTCCCTTTAAATGAGAATCCAAGCAGTACTTACAAGGAATTCATCACGAATAAAATATTTAGCTCTTGTCACCGATTCCTCATCCCCAGGCTCTGCCGTGGCTAAACAAAAAACAATGTAAGTGAAGAGACGATGGACTGTTGTTAAAGAAGATACTACAGAAGATATAGGCTAGTGCCCGTCTCATTTTATTTTGTTTTAAAATTCAGACAAAAAGAAGAGAGCTTTCAATTGACTGAAGGATGGGTAGCCACTACCCAGTGAATAAATTGCTATTTGGCAAGAAAAGTTAGTTTCCTAACCGCGTTGACACTGTTATGTTGCTCATTGTGGCGCACATTAACTTATCAGCTAGAAAAAACTCTCATAGATTCACGTTAGATTGCCTGACTCAAATCAATGCACACTGAACACTAATACACTTTCAGTTGTACTCAATACACTACCTACACCAAATCAATCATATTTCCGGACCATTAACCAAAACAAAGAACTAACTGAGGACGTAAAAAAGCCACGATTCAGATAGCAGGGAATGTTTAAATTTCCGAAAAGTTAGCGAATACTTTGTAGCTCAATTTATAATCAAATTTTAAAGAGTAGATACAGCGAAAAAATACACTAACGTGCTTGTTAATGACATAATAACTAAGCACGAAACAAAATAAGTAGAAATGCACCAATCACGATTCAAAAACATGACCTTTTTAAGCCTCTGAGGTATTCCACGGTTAAAATCAAGTCATTGGAAGGAACCGTATATAAAGCCCTCCTCAAAACCCTAACTCCATTTTTTCTAGAGAAAAGGGTTTTTTCCCGTCTCGTCACAAGCGTCTGACAAAAAAAATCTGATCCCCATGAGGAATCGAACCACAGGGGTTCGTATTAGGTGTTCCCATTTCCTAACACTCAGACACAGAGACTCTACAGTGAGCTACACCATTATGAGGTTGATTTTCTTGTGTACGTCTTACCATCAGGAGGAGTTCTGTAACGCGCAAAGTCCGGGAAATAGTCCTCAATCTTGGACTTGCCAGCCCGCACCTTTTCTTTAAGCAAATCTTGTTTGTTGAGAAACAATATTACTGAGATTGTTCTCAACCATCTGGGAAGAAATAAAACAATTACAGTATTACTTTTATTTGTTCTGCCGTTGAGCACTTCTTGCATTCTTACCAAATTTCTAAAACGAATAAAGACAGACTCAAAGCATTACAGTCTTTAAAAAATATATATGCTTGGAAGGATCTTTAGGTAAAGCTGGGAGAGCATAATCCCTTTAAACCATTGTCTTGATTCCACATGCATTCTGCTAAGTTTAAATAATTCCAATTTAAGAATAGAACAATGGAAAACGATTTTCTCGAATTTGACTGACATCAAAACTTCAAAACATTTTTTGACAACTTCAGAAAACATTCCATGTAAATATTTTTCAAAATGTTGCTCAATACTTAAGTAATCACATCTAAAGGTGATTTATGGCAAGACTTGGGCATGTATTTGGTACACTATTAACATTGTGTGGGAACCACAAAGCTAACAATAAACAGAAATTCACCCCTTCCATCACTTTATCTGCTGGGTTTGTGCAAAACATAAAACTTGACTGCAACTATGGTACTAATACACTACATACTACGTGATTACTGCTCTACAGATGCACAGACAGTTCAAAAATGCCTTAAGGCACCATGAACATAGACATAGCTTAATTCAAAAGATTCAAAGGTAGGCATTGTGGCTAAAAATAAATTAGGGATCCTATTGTAACTTAACCTTGTGATTTACAAATGACAAAAAAAACACCCCTTTGAGAAACATTTGAGTGCTGTATTATCATATGGACAGCTCTTTTGTTATTTTGCTTTGGTCGATTGTTTGTGATATGCAACAAATAAAGTATGTCTGTAATATTGAACAGTTTGATCAGCTAACATCCAAAGTAGTTAAAAGGTTCTGAGAATGGATGATATTACTATACATTCAAGGTTTTCACAAACTAAAAATGACCATTTGCAAGTATAAGTAGGAAAAAAAATGCTCTCTGTTCTTTTTAACTTATTCCTTCAAATCTCTCCAACAACCCTTGGAACATTCACTTTACTGTTGGCCGCTATGCGTATGCCATTTATAACCCACTCATTTCAATAATTTCAGGGGCTGACAGAAGAGCCTCTTCAAAATAAGATTTACAAATGTGTTATTGACCAAGCAGGAGGTCAAAATGGCTAGACATTAACCAAATTCTTTCTCTGTGTTTTTATGGACCAAGTTGAAGTCTTGGTCAATAAAAACCCAAATAAAGAACAAGGCTAATATCCAGCCATCTTAACTGAACAAGCTTTGTCGGATTTATGATATAGCAAAACCACCTCACTTTATTAAGAATCAAGAATGACTCATGTATTTTAAGCACTGGGATAGAAAGCCAATTGTGTTGAAGCACATTAAACCTGTGGAGTCTTGTAAGTTTTCTTTGATAAGACAGTCTTCTGCCCCTTTTTGTGACTCCATCAATGACAAAGTCCAAAAATTATAAACCTTTTTTTTTTTTTCCCCCCTTGCCTGGAATCAAAGCAGGCAGTCCTGTGCAGGCAAGATGGGTCCATCTTCCCCCCACATGGTAGCCAATCATAACACAGGATTTGATTCATACACCCGATGGGTGCTGCAAGCAGCATAATAATATTAGGAAAACTCTTTTAGCTGGCTGTTCAATACTATTCCACTTAAGATAAACTATTTGTTCCAATTTTTACTGAATAATACTGTCAGTTCACAAACCTGTTATTCCAAATACTTTTGAATAATTCAAGACTCTCCTTCAACCGATTCTGAGGAAAAAAAAGGAATTTATAAGACTTGTATATCATTATTTTAAAAGCCAGTAACAACAATTGAAGACTTTTCATTCATCAAGCTTAACCCTTTGACTCCCAGAAGTGATTAAAATTTCACCTCTTTACCATATCCATACATTTTCCAGTAAACAGGTTATGAAAACACTCAAACTTGTAACTCAGATCTAACACTGAATTCTTGTAACTTATTTACAAGGAAATCTGTAGAAATTAGAAGGGAGAATTAACAATCAGATCTTAGGAGTTAAAGGGTTCAGAAACTAATCACAGGAGTGAAGAAGGAGTTCCACTCGTTTAAGAAGGCTGCATCAATACTAGTCATCACCAAATGAACATGATTAAAGAGTTGACATCAAAATTAGTACTCTGTGATAACTTCCTTCAACAAAAAGAAGAGATTGTTGATGTTGTTTGGTCAAAGACACCAATATACTTGGAGAAAAAAAAATTTAAGTGTTTACAACTGAACTCAAACCCATGACACCTCCACTGTCACATGTGCTGTAGTTAGGCCATCACAAATATCTCGCACAGCCACCAGTGATCAAAAGTTATTATGATCATTTCGCAAAATAATAATGGTAGTGAAGTTGGTAAAAAACCAAAACAATGACGTTGAATGATGACAATTTTATGACACATTTCTTTCTCTTTGGGCATAAAACTGCCCTAACTTGAAACACCAGTCAACCATAACCCACATTTCCATCATGTTTGTTCGATAAATCATAATTAAAATCCACATGGGATCAAGGATATTTGTCATATGAACTTAGTTTCATGACTTAGTTACCAAGAATCTCTCAGAGGTCAGTCGATATTTCAAAATTTTTTCCATGTATGTTCCCGCCACAGAGTAAAATCACAATCTACCACATTGAGTGCCAAAAGTGCGACAACAGAGTTTAAGAGTGGCATATTGAGTAAGGATATATTTTAGGTCCTCCCTCCCAAACTTTTAAGCATGTTACACGAGGAAACATTGTATTTATTTCCTTTTCACCATTCTTGCAGAAGATGAGATACAAGACAAACTTACCTGGCTAGGATCTTCTCTTAGTACCAAATTGTAACTACTGCATGCAACGACAAATATTATTGCTGTAACATCTGTAAGCAAAGTGAAAAGACATTGTTCAGTTACAGGCTGAAAAGGTTGTAATCTCAATTTTTAACCACAAGGCTGATGATCCTTGATCAGCTCATCACATGTTTAAACAGTACTAATTTTTTTTTTATTAACTTCATTACCAAAACTTTTCTAATACCAATTCATATATACTTACACTTATTTCGGATTGTAACTTACTTACAACTAGCTAATTTTAAATAATACCTCACTGAGCACAAAGCTTTGTGGTTTTTGTTGCAATAATATGTAAAGAATATTGATTTCAACCAGAGTTAGTTAGTACCAAAGCTTTCAAATGAGATACTTAAATGGACTTTTACTACAGCATTCTCAAGTTTTGGGGCTTAATTCCAATTTTGTGGAGACAACAAGATTAACAAAGAGTTTCACAGTATTTACATCAGTGATTACATCACTGTGTGAATCAGAGGAAAGATCCATGGAAAGATAATGAAAATGATCATTTCAGGTTAAACCCAATTCGGAGCAATTATACCTTTGATTTGGGTGTTATACTGCTGCATAAACCATATTTATTTGAACACTAGATTATATGATTCTTACCATTAAAGCACTGTATCCATTTCCTTCTTTCATCTCTTTGGCCACCCACATCAAACATGCTGTAAGGATAAAAATAGACTCCTTTAGCCGATTCCTTTCCAAATAATTTAAGCCTTTAACTCCCACGAGTGACCAAGACAGAATTTCTCCTTACAATATCAATACAATATCAAGCAGTAAAGTGATGGGAAAGAAGAAAACTATCACTTAGGGGACTATAAGTTGATCCAATATCAAATTCTCCAAACTAACATCACAAGAACTGTATGGGAGACAGAAAGGAGAATTACTGATGAGATCTTGGGAGTTAAAGGGTTAAAACATAATCTCATGAGTAAAGTAATTGAACATTTCCTTTGTTCCAGTTTACTCATTAGTAAACTTCTAGAAAATAATCATCAGATTTAAAAAGGTTTAACTAATGAATACTATAACAGAGTACACTAGGAATAACATATGCAAATCAGAGACCTTACATCAATAAACAATATAAAAAGCTTCAGAAAACTTACTGGAATTTCACTTTATCCACATTAAATCTTGTTTCAATGATTCCTGAAGTCAGAACTCGACATCTGAGCAGATCCTGGAAAATGCATATTTCAGGTCAAGCAAAAATCAGAAAGCTTTTAATATAACTTCTATTATACACTAAAACAGTAAGGTATGGAGACACAGCACTACCCAACAGAGATTTTGACCTTTCACGCCTTAAAATTAGAGCAGTTTTCTCTATATTTTCCAGGTTACTCACAATAATAATTTGTTTCACAGTCAAGAGCTCCCTACGTTGGCAATCATTTCTTTTATTCTTGTGACTCTCGTGTTTGATTTAGCAGCATTATTGTCAGGATGATTTAGGGGTTAAAGGGTTCAGACATCAATAAAAGAAAAGAGTGATATCATCGTGTACCCAAGCCAAATACAGGCAATCCAAAAAATATCAAAACCATGAAGTACCTTAAAGCTTATGAAAAGAAAAATAAATAAAAACTACCAAAACAGAAACCCATTACAGTTTTAAGAGTTACAGCCTTCTTGTCTCAGTTTCAGTGCACCAACCTGTTCCACTGGAAGATAGTCTGGCTGTTTCACTGTGTCCACCCTGTCCAAAAAACTGGAGAGGAAAAAAAAAAAGAATAAAAATACATCCAGCCACCTTCAGGCCTTTTAATTTGCCACAATACCTTTCAAAGCAACTTTTTACTATCAAACAGACTAACAAGTCAATACTGAATTTTTCACTTGGAAAAATTCAGTTTACATAAAAGGAAAATTGATTTCTGAAGCACTCAATTGATCTCACACAGTGCATAATTATGCTTGAGTATCTCAGATATACTTTATCAAAATATGCAATTATTGAGCTATTTTAGGAATCTTGAAGATGAAAATCAATCTTCTTAAAGAAAAGTCTTCAGATTCCTTAAATGTCCAAATATTGTACTCTACAAAAATTGAACTAAAAAAAGCAAAGAAAGGTGAGATAGTGGGTATACTATATGCCCTTGAGAGAAACTCATACACCTCCTACAGGAACAATGAAAGAGATGTGGCTTTATGACAACCAGTTCCTGGTAGCCAGATCACCTCCCTAGAAATAGAAATATGCAGTTTGCTTCCTTCACAGGTCTCAGATTTTTCCTCATTTTGTCACATTTGTATTTGAAAAAAAAAATCTTTGTTCTCTTAGCATCTGGCAGTGATGACTATTAAAAGAAGACATCTTCTAGCCCCTTTGGTTTTGTTGACCTCTTAAAAGCTTTGTCATCACCCAACAATATTTTAAACCAGCCCTAATTTCATATTTTAAATTTTTATAATTTTTTGGTATTTTTACCACTGAAAAGTGATAGTGGCCTGCCACCCTGACAAACAGAAACAATTGTTTTCTTTTTCAGCTGTTGGATAGGATGATAAAAATAGTCTGTTGTGTTTAAATTTATTACATCAATATCAATAACAAGACGCAGGCTTCTATGGATATTGATGATTCATGCACATTGCGAATTCCCCACTGATGACGTCAAATAGGAAAAATTAATTCATCTTTTAAATTGCTGATATTAAAATATAATATACCATGGCTCTGATAGAGCATGTGGTTGTGAATCTCAACATCAAACACAAACCAACTTTCCTTTCCTTTCTCTCTAAGAAAGTCATGTATAGTGTACACAAAATTTTCCATCTACAGATCAATGGTGCAGTTCAAACATTTTCTTGATTCATCATCATCATCACATCAATGTAATTTTGATTCCCTTTCCAAAGTGTTCCCACCAAAATCCAAAAAAAGAAAAGTGAAGTCAAACTGGTTTGTAAAATATTACACCAAGAAGAAAAATTTTGAACCACAGAAATTGTCTATTTATCAATCTATTTATAGTTCATTCATTCAGCCAATTCAAGACCATAACTACATCAAGCATGCAATAATATGTAACACTTGTAGTATACAGTAAAACAAAGTAAGCAGTCACCCTTAAAACAAATTTCTCAATAAATTTCAAACTGTGACACACATAAAACTCCACAATATACCTCAGAGCTGACAGAAACCCATTCAACCCTTGATTTTCAGTCTTTTGGCAGAATACTTTAATAACAATTGGAAAGGCTCACTTCATCATAAGATTTGAAATAGAGGGAAACATCAATAAGATATGGTTTTTAATTCAGAATAGCCATTGCTTTTGCAAATATCATCCCACTAAAATTGCCTAACCCTTTCCACCCTAACATCAGTATCCATAATCTCCATACTGCTCTCCATACATTTCTTTAAGCGCTGACAAGGAGAATTTGATTAACAATCAAAGCTTCTTTTAGTGGTGATCATTTCCTTTATTCTCAAGATTTTAATGAATGATTCAGCCATAATATTGTAAGGAGAAATTAGATATTGGTCACTCTTACATTTAGAGGGAAATGACTCTTATTAACGTTATGTAACATCATAAGGCTGTCACATCATAGGAACTAACACTGTTTAAGTCACATAGGGCTATGATCTGACTGGTATTCGAAACACTTTCAATGTTTTATGCTTATTTTTGTTTGATCAAAATATCTAAGAGAATAGTTGTGAAAAAAAGAGAAACACTTGGTCTTAATAAAGGTTTTTTCTGTTTTTGTTTTGTTTTTTTGAAAAAAAAAAAAAAAAAATACATGTGAGGTGGGCTCATGAATACATTACCCATAGAGGTAGTTGGTGCTGGCATATTCAAAAAACATTTGATGAAATAAGGAATAATCATATTTTAAAGTTTGAAAAAAACAAAACACAAAAAAGCAATTTCCTCAAAAAACACCGAGGCAGATTTTGTTCACATCCTTCATGAAGATCATATTTCATTCCCAGGTCATTCCACAGAAAAACGAACACAACCACATCATCATCAGACGAAATATAACTCTTTGACCACCTCTTACACTTTTTAAATCCCCTAAAATTTACCCCTAAATGTTTAGCTGTGGCAGTTAATTATTTCTGGCACTGCACTATCCAACAACCAATACCAGAGTAAACTGCAAAGTAAGTTTTGAGCTGTTGTACTCAGTAACTACAATTTTTTTAACATGGATGTCTGTTAATTTTTTTCCTTCTATAGCCAACATTTAAATAATTATAAAACCTGAACCCGGTTTGCCATTAAACTTTCTTTCTCAGACAAATGAATCAGACAACAAACAAAGCTATTTATAGCACTAGTGAATTTCAATACCCCCACTGAGTATCAGATTCAAATTACTTCTACATTCTCACTCATATAGCAGACCCACAACCATCAGGAAAATCTAAAACACTCCTCAAGATTTGTTGAAACACCCTGTTCTCTTCTCAATAATGCATGTTCTCAAAATGTCCAATTTTCCTGTTACTAACATAAAAAAGAGGGAAATGGTTCAACAAATGTGAAAAGGATTGTCTGTAAAATTATACCACATCGTGACAACTTAAACACAGGTGAAACAGAGACTATTTGCAGCCAAAATATTCAATAACTGTGGTTCGCTATGGGTTGTCCAAATTATACAAATTCCACTCTCATTCTTCTTCATTACCCTAAAACCACATGTACAATGACAGAACCTTTGCAAAAAAACTTTCCTTCAGGTGTAAAACGTGTGAAATTTCCACCTGACATAAATATGTTGTGAGTAAGAAAGCTGGAAGAAGTCACTTCTTGGTACAATATAGAGGTACATATTTGCTCGTGTCAAAATTTTTGTAGCCATGATTTAAATTCAAGAAATTTACCATTAGTAAAGAGCTCTACCATTAAAGTGAAGTACCATGTCTGTTTTATAACATCACATGGTTTGCCAACGGAAAACTGATCTCAAATCCAGAGTCATGATGCACTCTCATCACAAAATATTGCTTTCATAAATCACTACTTATCATAGAAAAATACTATTTTTGTTTCCAGGACAAATCAGGTAAGCATTATGTCAAAGGTCAATAATTCTTTCCAAGAAAAACACTCCAGAATTTCCAAATGTAGAACAAGATATAGTAGTAGTTTCCTGGGCCTTAGTAGGATGAGTAAAATATCATCTTTTTAATGTTGCCTACAGTGATGGGTTGACAGTGAAAGTAATGCCATTTCACTCTGCAGACTACCCTTGCCAAATTTTGCTCAAACACCCTGCTCCCCTCACAATGTTCAGTTTTTATAAGACTTAAACTCCCATGAGTGACCAAGACAGAATTCCTCCTCACAATCTTAATACAATATCCAGCAAACAAGTGATGAGAATAAAAAAAAATATATCAATTAGGATATTAACAAGTTGATCTAATACCAAATTCTCCAAAGTAACATCATACAAATCATATGGCAGACAGTATGGAGAATTACTAATAAATCTTAGGAGTGAAAGGGTTAAGGCAGTCCAATTTTCCTCTTACCAACATTCAGAGGTTTCAATAAAAGTGGACAACAGGCAAAATTTGCTGTCTTTATTAAAAGCAAAAATTGCAGCTTAAATTCTCTGAAACTATCAACATTTGAGTAAAGAACAAACTTCCAATAGCAGCCTGATTTCTTTGCCGTCAACTTAAAGTTATTAAAACCCTTAAACATTGACAAGGAGGGGAAGGAGGAAATGTTTTAACGATTGTGATGAACATTACAGTTTACACCCAACACCTTAGGTGTGGCACCTACTTGTTAATAGCACAAGGTACTTTCTGGATTATAGAAAAGTTTGATTAAAAGATAGAATCCAGCTATTGAGGAAATCATGTAAAGGTGATATATATATATATATATATATATATATATATATATATGTGTGTGTGTGTGTGTCTGCTGCTCATTAAACCAGAACAAGTTTTCAGTTTTAGCCTTTTCTGCAATAGTTCATTAAATTTTCCCCTTATGCAATAAGCTACAGCTAAGTCATAGATTAGTCTTAATCAACAGAAGAGACTTTTTCCATGAACTGTTTCACATCTTCTCATATTAAGCTTGCAACAACAATTAACTTTTACATATAGCAACAAAGTAGAATTGAATACTGCAACAGTGAAGTTCTAATGCGAGTAATTGCATTAGAAGCAATGCCCAAATGCATTCAGTATAATTTGATGAGGGTTTTTCCCTCACCATTCATTGATTTCCACTACAAAACAGCTTATGAAGTACAAGAAATGTTTATATCAATACCTGCACTACTGATAGCTATGTAAAACAGTGACTGAACTTCAAGAAGGAAGCTGTTAAGGAATTTTTTAAAAACATTTTTGCTCTCTTTTGCTCATACATTGAAGAAACACACTAGCTACTTCCAAATGAAAAGCAAAATCGCTCATACACTGATAAAACAGTGCAGATCCACATTTACAGAGCCTGTTTTCTCATCTTTCTTGTGATTTTAACTCAACTGATTGAATGTAAAAACTCTACCAAGTCAAAAGAAGTCCAAATGTTTTTCTTGCTCTGACACAATATGAAGCAAACTAAATTTAGAATTTTTAAAGAAAGATTGGTTAGTTAACACTACTGAAATAATCTATTTATGATTTTTAGCAACATCTATCCTCAGTAAATTGTAGCAAACAACAAACAAACAAGTAAACAATCAGGGTAAATAACCATCCATATTCAATGGTAAAAACAAGATGAATCTAAATACCCAGAATATGAAAACATTTCTTTTGGCATGTCTTAGTTTAAATTATATAAAGAATATTCCCTTTGCATACTATCAGAAATAGAACTTAGGTGAGCTTCAAAACAATCTTAGCTTTTACCTACACAGAGAATTATCTAGCACTAAAAAGACAAAATGGTTTGATGTTTACAACAACACAAGTCTGTATGAAAAATATCCCTTCAATTTGAGCAAAGTACTATTGTAACCACTAGAAAATATGCCTCTTAACCTTTACTACACACATATATATATATATATATGAAAAATGTTTTACACATTTCCACTATGAAATGATTTTACCTTATATACATCAATTTAAAAAAAAATTTGTTCTAACCTAAGCATTTCTATTAGTGGATGGGGAAAACATTCAGCATCAACGAATAGTAGCCCTCACAAAAAAAGAATGAGACTGAGGGATCGATGATATAACTCGAAACATGCAGATGTCTACTTGCAAGTGAAATGTCAAGATCCAACAATGTTTCTCTCTTGTGAGTGAGCAAATGCTTTGAATCTGGCAAACAAGAATATGCTGTTGATCTATTTCTGCCGAGGAGACACACGAATAGACAGCCAAACACTTCCAGACCTCATTTCAATCGAACCTGCCTGAGTCTGTATGTTTGATCTAAAAATAGGATTCATGTGAATGACCCTACCTACAGGCAGTGATCCGTTTTCGTGAAGAATTCTTCTTCTTCTGTCTGGTCAGTTCGAATTATAATTCAAAATACCACTTTTTAAGAATGTTAGACGGTTTATACGTTTTCAATACGCCACCTTCACAATTATTACGGATACAGCATGTACAGATCCGCTCGAAATGCTATATTCCGTAGCCATTGATGAAATGAAATCGACAAAAAAATAAATTTCGATCGGTGAGTTCGTGCTAAGATCATTTGGTACTTCAACAAAGATCTTATTCTCTGCTCAACGGTCATTTAACCAGAAACATTAGATGTTATTTTATCAACAATAAAACCTAGCTTAATAAATTCGGAACACTGCGAGTTTCTCTATCATTGAGCTGTCTTAGTTTCTGCATGGAAACCAATTCAAAACAAAGTTGGCTGAGAAATGGTTCACAGTTTTCATGACAGAGAACCGGTACTTTCATAATTTTTCCATTCCAAAACCACAGACTACGTATTCCAAATTACGGTAAAAATTTCTAGCGGAGTGCATTCAATCAAACTGGAAGCATATGTATCGTTCTATCTAGGTTTCGTATAGCGATCACAACGTTTCTTCCCTATAGAGGTACATCCCATCAGAAATCGGCTTTCAAATATTATCCTTTAGTTTATCATTTGACAGCCCGACCGCCAAGAATATCTACGAAACCGTTTACCAACTACTTAAATGGCATCAAAATCATTATGGATAAAAACCATGAGACGCCGAAGCGTACCGGACACAAAACACAAGTCCAAGTAAAGGAAACACTCTCCGTTCGCATATGGCTTCTTACTCACAACGGTTCGCACAACAGCGTGACAGAGGTTTTCGAACATAAAATCACGATTTTATCGCTTCTAAAAACCGCTAGAAAATAAATAATCCTTAGCGAACATGCTTACACGGAATTAAAAGGAAACATTCCTCACTGGCAGAAAATAACATCTAAGAAGTTCTATGACCACGAATAATAATTCTTTTCCAGCCATTTTGTCGGGGCTACTTAGTTTGTAAACACTGCCATCTTCCTAAAACCCCTTGGCTACGTTGAACACTCGACGAAGACTATAAAAATAGCTCAGTAAGCGCATTTTCTACCAAACAAAGCGAGAAAACGCGCTTGTGAAGCGAACATATCATCGAGATGACAAAATATATGAGTATTTCAACGTCTTGACCATGTAAAAAGCCCAGAAGATGTTATAATAAATAGACTTACTATTGCGCACAGTCGATAAGTTGATACTCATTCGATCGTTCGAAGCATTCGAGCACACCCGCATCTTGCCATAATATCTTTGTGTGTTCATAGAACTCCTAAAAAAAAGAAATAGCGAAAAGTTACATAAATCCGGGCCAAGAAAGGTAGCACAAGACGAAAACACATTTATGTTTGTTCAAAGCGCTCGACTGCCCTCTGCTCAAACTTCTGGTTTCCATAATTAGAAATGTGTACTAAACTACGAGCGAAACCGCTCGTTTAAAACTTGATCTATCGAAATTTACTTTCGATGCTTTCACCGTTCTTTTACAGAGAAACTAAACTTCTAAAGATAACGATTATAGCAAAATATCATCTCGCCTTACCGGGGGATAGTCGAAGTCTGGCGTCGTGGCCACTTCATGCAAGTAGTCGATTCTGAACTGATTATTAGGGTTAGCTAACTTCACCGGCGGAGTTAACGTCGGCATAGCCCCTGTAATGGTCTAAAACACAAGAATTATGTATCTTACAAAAAAATAGAAGCGAAAGGAATCGAAAAAAGCCGTGAAATCGCAACGAATCGCGAGCTAAATGTGGGTGGTAGATTGTAAATAGGCTAGTCTTACCAATATTGCATCTCTAATATTCTTCTTTATATCTTCTATTTTTTGCCTCTTTTCCCTGTGAGAAACGAAGCAAAGACGGAGATTAACACAAGACGTCCATTATGAATAATTCTTGCTCGATCGGCGCTAGCTTGCCTTCCTCACTCTTAATAATTTGTATGCTAAACAACTGTGACAGAATAGGTGGACACTCACTGCTCCGTAAAACCATGTACGTCGTGTAAAATCCTCATTTGCTTGACGATCGTGCTCTTTCCAGATTCTCCAGCCCCTTGGAGGTTAGAAATAACACTTATTACTTATTCGATCATAACCAAAATCAACCACTTTCAAACCCGATTACTACAGCCATTTACCAAGTAAGAGGAGACGATGAGTAGCTCGGTATGCAATTTTATCATCTCGGAGTTGCTTTTCGATCTTTTTGTTGGTACTTTTCTGATGCCTTTTCGTTTCTTGTTCCTCATCGGTAATGTTGTTGCCGAAACACCCCATCGCACAGAAGTGCGATTCCAGAACGAGGAAAACGCCCCCGTTGTACCACCAAATAAAAAGTTTCTTTTTACGAAGATGAAAGCAGCAAGTTTGGAACTAGCTTGTGGACAGAGCAACACGGCTCAACTTATGACAAATCAAACAGGGTGTGACAAAAGCACGCTTAGCTTTTTGGGATATCTGTACACTAGTTAGCAGAGTAAGTCTGGTGACGAATATGACGTCAACGGCGAGAACATACTGGTTTTGACGCAACCGTGACGTCACTAAACGGGGATTTTCGCACTAAACGAAGCTCTTACCGTCGATTTTCGCTTTTATGGTGGTTGAATAGCACTAAAAGAAATTATACTACTCAATCTAACAGCAATCTTTAAACATTCTTACGCATGGAAACGTCGAAGTACTTTATCTATCACTGGCTACTCGCGATCGCGGCAAGCTTTTTAAACACTACGCTTAAGTATTGATTTAATTAATTTTGCAACAATATGTAACGGTCTGTTAGAACAACTTCACCACAAGAATCACCATATAAAGGGAGCTCTTTTGTGTCACTTATTAGCTATTTTACGCGTGTGTTATATTGAGCACTTGAGGTAGCGTTTTCTTGCGAAAAATTTCGTCATAGTTCCAAGATTGCGTAGTTAACCAACTTAAAACGTCATTGAGATGATTTTTCCGCAATGTCTAAAAAATCTGACAGAAAAGAAAACTTTCTTTATAACGGGAATTTGGTTGAAGGGAAAAATTACAAACTACGTAACCTGTCGAGGTTTAAGTGAAATATGCATTAGAGCATGGAGAATGAAGGGAACTCTTCTTTAAAAACTAACGAGTCAGGGTCTGAAAATGTAACTGATCTTCAGCCGTCCAACACTACAGGGCGTTTCTTTCCGATTAGATGATTCAGTGAGGACAGTAATGGGTATCTAGGACTACCCGTGGGTTATAACAGTGGGGACTGTGATGCACCGAGGCTGCCTATCTAGAGCCACACTGGCCCTGAGTATGTCAAGAACACCTGGTTTATTGAAGAGTGGGCGACAAGCACAAATCGATCTAGAACTCAGCCGGTAATCTTCCACGATAAAACTGAAAGTTGACAGTCTGAGTAATTAATTTGTTGTACGTTTCATAGCCGTGCGAATAAACTTTTATTTGCATTTTTAAAAAAAAAAAATTGAAACACGTTTATCATCATAGTTGTTTAAAGTATTTTCATCAATTTTATAACGACCAAAGCTCACTCAGGCTCTCTCAACTTGATCCCAGAACAGTGCTCTGAGAGGAGGCCGGAAGACTGGGTAAGACTACTTTCCTGTCGATCTTGCCTAGCGAGTGTTCTGCGTTGAAGGAAAGCATCTACTCGGTAAGCGGAACAAAAGTGTTTTTCATTTGACAGGGCGAAACTGAGTCTGAGAAAATGATACATGAGAGGAAGGCCTCGATCATCCGCAAAGAACGATCGAACAGACTTCTCCTCGCTACCTCCGGCGAAATTTGAAATAAAATTCGATGGCTTAATTATTATCATGTCATTTCCAGGGTTAGTGAAGTGGAGTGGTTGAGGGTTTGGAGGGTAAGAATTTTCCTTCAGGTAGGAGCAATCGATATCTGGAAACAGAGTAAAAATGCCAAGTACTTCAAAGTGGCTAAACGGCGACTCTTTTTCTCTACTTTCAAATAGTCCTAGCTTTCCTTTTGCGGCTTTTAGCCAGTACGGATGGCGCGTGGGTTAAGTGGAGTCGTATGGAGCAAGAGAGCATCAAATAGATTTAATGCTCTCTAACGCAAAGCGAGAAGAGCATGTTTTATTTCATTTCACCTTCAGTAATGCCACATAAGAATAGTATTCAAATTTCAGTTTAGAAGGGAAAAATGCAGGACTGAAGAAATTACCAAACGCCTATATTTTAATAATTTTAGAAACTCTGCCATTGGTGCTGAAAAATTTCCCTGATTAGCTCGGGGGACTTTTCTATACATAGACTTCTATTTATATGATGAAATTACACACAACACTTAGGCAGATAAAACGGACATGAATCGAGTCGCACAGTCTTCACACTCCCTCTTTAGGATCTGCAGTTGTTACTGATTCTTTATGGCAACTTGAAGTAATGTGTATGTTGTTTGGCAAAGAGAAGTAATTGGCACATCTTCCGGCAGGGTGTCTCGCGCAAGTTTCTCGTTTGTGTATGAAAGTATACAATATTTTTTTTCTCGTAAAATAGAAAAAATCCTTTTGTCAACATCAAAATGGGTCTAACATATCCAGGCCTCTTTCACACCCTTCTCTCCCTGTATTACGCCCGAAATAGCGAAGATTATGATAATTTATTACTGCCTTTCACTCGAATTTGGCGCTTCTCGGGAGTCATTGTAAACTTATTCAAGATATCTCGAAACTTGACTCATCAGGGTCGAACCAAACTTCTGGGCTTTTTCCCAAGAGGTTCGAGAAAACTTATTATAAAAAGAAAACGCGCAACCAATCAAACTAAGAGAATGAGGTCTCATCGTCTAAATCAAAAATTTTCCGCGTTCATGGCTCGGGTAAAAAGCAAGTGGTATTACTCAAGGAAGTATGTCACACATTTGGAAAATTTTAGAAAAAAATCTTAAAGCTCTTCATCTACAATCCGCGTTGATTTGAGTTCCTCATTCTTGTCTTTCCTTGTTCTCATTTGGTATTACCTTCGTCTGTTTGACCGCCACGGTAAACTGAAATTCAAAGTTTCCCTTTCAATCAACTATAATTTTTCAATGACTATAAAAACAACGATGACGTAACGTTTTTAACATTGAAGAGATCGCCGAGTCAGATTTTGAACAAGCTACAGAAAAAGTACACCGAGACCGCGATCATTTTTTCTTTAAAATAGGCTTCAGAACGTTGCATGTATAACCTTGTGCGTTTAAGGGAAAGTTCTTAAGTCTTTACAATCACCGAGGGGAAACATTGCATAACCTGTCATTGTAATACATGCCAAATGCACTTAGAGATACGCGTAATCTGGAGGAGCGTTCCACAATCTTTGCGGTCAATAAACTAGACCGAAAAAAAATGAGAGTCCACCTCCATCTTGAAGTTCATTCATTCGGGTCACTTTTAAAGAATTCTGATGTAATTTGGATTTAATTCTTGAGAAAAGCGCTGTCGATGACTTTGATACAAACTTTTTCCTGATAATACACAATTTGAATGGCAGACATTTGTGACTGCTCTTCTAAAATTGGAGTGGATTCAAATGAAACAAAAATGATGTGCATGTCAGATGTACAAGAAAGGCGTTTCAGAGCCAAACCAGGGTCAAAATAATCGAAAACTAGATAAGATTCAAACCGAAATACGAGAAGTCACCGCAGTCAGTCGCGCGAGTGACAAATTTACACACAGTTCTAAAAATAAGCCCTGAAGACAAAAGAAATTAAAATATCAATAGCACAACCTCCATAATCATGACATTTAGTTAAAATATCGGGGTCTTTTGTTTAATAAGTGCTCAATTGAATCCGAAAGTCTAAAAGCGGTTGCGAAACAGTTCCGCAGAAGGAGAACTTGGCACGCGTTCTGAATTTCGGTTTCTTAGATGCTTGATCCAAATTTATCGACATAATTATTCATTCGTGTATATTTTGCGGTTCTATACAAAAACGCCTGTATTTCCTTTTCAGCGAATAAGGAAACTAACTTGTGTTTATTATTTAACCTTATCTCTATTTTCGGTTTTTTGTTTGAACAGCAAGTGCTAAATATAGAAATATAAATTTAAGTCCTCGAATTGTAAACATTATCCCGTAGCGTCGACAATCACGTTTGTAAAAAGCCTCGATTAACGGCGCTTACATGTCTTCGAACGATTATTGCAAAATATATTTCGTAAACAAAACTCGATTGACAAAAAAAATTCATAAAACAATAATTTTCCGTATAAAGTTTGCGAGGAAATGGTTCAACTTAAATTCTCTACTCAGCAAGGGTTAAAATTCGGCTGCCTTTTTTTAAACCCGTTGGAAGTGTTTTGAATTATCAGCTCATGAGGTTCACAGAATCTTCGCTCTGATTTCGGTTCTTTTTTTTGGCAATAAAGATAAAACTGAGCAATAAAGAATCCAACCATTATTACTGGCCCGAGAAGTTCGGTAGTTGTTGAACAGATTCAAAGTGTGACATGATTGTTTTCAGTATTGTGCAATGCTGTTTGGAAATCTAAAGTAGTTGTTTATTTTAAGTTTCGCAACCATGACGATCGATACCTAATGAAAGCTCTGAACAACTTTTTAATTCGTGACTACAACCCGTCAATTGATTTATTTTTGCTTTTTCTCTTTAAAGAGCATTGTCTACAGTATTTAGAAGAAATAACCTGCTCAATTAATTTTGCACAAAAGTGATTGCTCAGCATCGGTCATTGCAGATCATTGCACGGATTTCAAAAGATTCTTGCCGAGTGCCCCAGTTTTAGCATGTGTAGATGATTGGCGATCTTTTCGTGGAGCACGAAACATTCGAAACAGCCGAAGCAAGAAAGCTGACTTCAGAGGAGGAAAAGGAATACAACCTGTCTTCATTTACCAAACCATGAAGATAGCAGTGAAGAATTGAATGCGCAGGAATACCTGCCTTATTAGATGACTTTTGATCAAGTGCCTGATTGAGTGTCAAAAGAACTTTCTCAAACTTAACTTCCAAAAAATGTCTGGAAGATATGAAATTTAAGTTCAACGTCATCTAAGACTTTGTCTCTACGAAGGACTCTCCCGCCTACAGGGATCAAAAGATTCATGTTGGCCACGTTAATTCCTTAGCTCCCTGAGGCAATTCAAATCTTCTGCTCTCGGTTCGTCCAATTCTCTTTAAACTATACCTTGTTGCTTGAAATTTCAGTTTTGCCAGATTCAAACTCTTTCTTCATTCCAATAAAAAAGCCTGGTACTGAAAAAAATCCTTGGCAAAACACGACCTGAGTATGTGCACCTCCCAATATCTTTTGTAGACGACCCACACAAATTCGAAGGCTTTCAGCGATCTATTTGGACATTCTGAAGATTTCCGTGAGCCTCACGAAGAGTTCCCTGAACTTAATCCCCGTGTTCCCTCTTTTTGGTGGAAAGCGCAACCGATTGCCCA